ATTGTCTCTTTGACAATTCAATAAACCTTCCATCTTATTTAATTACAGAAATTACAATTATATTTTAAAGAGTTAAAAGTAACAAGAATTGTACTAAGTCTCTAAACCTTTATACTTAGTAAATTATTCTATGTCACCGATATACTAGTACACAAATGAAAACTCAAACTATAAAATATTCTAAGTTCAATTTGAAAGTAAAAAATATAAGTTTTAAATTGTACTAAGTTCCTAAATTTTTAAACTTAGCAAATTATTATATGTTCGCGGTATACTACTACACAATTGAAAATCGAAACTATAAAAAATATTCTAAAACAAATAAAGAAATGTCCCTAAATTTATAAACTTAACAATTTATTCTATGTAGGTTTATTACTATTCAATTGAAAATTCAAACTATAAAAATATACTAAGGCCAATTTTTACGTAAAAAATACAAATGAAAATAATTGTACTAAGTTCCTAAATGTTCATACTCAGCAAATTATTTTATGTTTCTGACATATTACTATATAAATTAAAATTCAAACTATAAACTACTCTAAATTCAGTTTTACAGTTAAGAATTTTACAAGTGTTAGAACGTAATAAATAAAAAATCAGACATAGGTTCTCCGTATCAACTCTTTTCTTAAAACTATTAAAAGTGTTACAAATTTTACTAAATGTTATATAATAATTATTTTCTAAATTATTATTGTCCATATAACTTCCAACCTTATTTTTTCTCAAATAGAAAGTTCAATTTCGCGTAACTTCCGTAAATAAATTTAAATGTACTCACAATATTTTCCGTTTCACTCACACCACAACAATATTACTGCAACTGCACTTGCGCTTGTCACACCATGTGACATTTCAAGGTTACCGTGACGTCGTTGGCTCGCCTCTGACCTCTCACTCCAACGCCGTCGTCAGATCTGCTGTCTCGCTCACTCCTTGAGCGCTTAGCAACTCCGATGTCCTCCGATTGTAAACCGAGTAGCGAACCACTGCCCCTACTAGGTTCTATCTTCCGCCATATTACCACTTAATACTGGGGAAGATCGGCATGCGGCTCGAATTTGGACCAAAAAAATGTACAACCCAACACTAAACTCTGGACTACTACAGCGTCCTCTGGTGTGAATAAATAAAACAACCAGCGATGTTGGATTGCTGAACTTAAAAAGGGTTTTATTTTTACAAAATGGCGTACTATATGTACACAGTAATACAACGAAACCATATCGACGTCTACTTTTAACACAGCGCCATCTAGTATGTAGCTCGAGTACTAAAGCTTCTATATAAAATAACAAACTTATACACGGACGGATATCAGATCTCTGTGGAAGCCCCATTGGGATCCTCTGATCATTGTCTGATACGGAGCGAAGTGCCTCTCACGCGTCCTTCTTTGCCGCGATCTACTGGTCGACGTCGTGTTTGGCATTTTAAGTCGGCAGATTGGGATGAGATGCGAAGTTTTTTTGCATCTTACCCATGGAGGCGAGTTTGCTTCGCACTGGACGATCCTGATGTAATAGCTGAATCTGTCACCGATGTGGTACTTCAGGGAATGGAGATATTTATTCCAAATTCCCAGGTACCTGTCGGTGGTAGATCTCAGTCCTGGTATGGCGGATCCTGTAGATCGGCGTTTCGCCATAAGCAGGAATGCTTCCGTGCCTGGATTGCAGCTGTGAAGTCGAGTGATCCAGATACCAGTGCCCATAAAAGGAAGTATAACTCCGCTTCCAGGTCCTTCAAAAGAGTTATTGCCACAGCAAAGTCGGAGCACATCAGTAGAATTGGTAAGAGACTAAACAGTCTTCCATCTGGATCCCGGGCTTTTTGGTCTCTTGCCAAAGCTGCTCAGGGAAATTTCTGTCAGCCATCTTTTCCACCACTGCGCAGAGAGGATAACTCGTTGGCCCAACATGCTAAAGAGAAGGCCGATCTCCTTGGGTCTCTTTTTGCATCCAACTCGACACTGGACGATAGGAAGCAATCACCGCCGGTCATCTCGCGGTGTGAGACTTTTATGCAAGAGGTAAAATTTACCCAAAAGCTGGTACGTAAGTCTCTTTTCTCCCTTGATATCCACAAGTCGAGTGGGCCTGACGGTATTCCTGCTATTGTGCTCAGGACGTGTGCACCTGAGTTGGCTCCGGTACTGCTACTCTACAGGTGTAGTCCCGAAACTTTGGAAGACGGCTTTGGTTCATCCGATCCCTAAGAAGGGAGATCGCTTAGATCCAGCTAACTATAGGCCCATAGCCATCACCTTCTTATTTTCAAAGACAATGGAGTCGATTGTCAACCGTCAACTCCTACGATACCTAGAAGTGAACCAGTTGATTTCTGATCGTCAGTATGGCTTTCGCCAGGGTCGCTCAGCTGGTGATCTTCTAGTGTATTTGACACATCGATGGGCAGAGGTTATTGAGAGTAAGGGGGAGGCCCTATCTGTTAGTCTGGATATTGCGAAGGCCTTTGATCGTGTTTGGCACAAAGCTCTTCTTTCAAAGCTACCATCCTTCGGGTTGCCTGCGAAGTTATGCAAATGGGTCGCCAGCTTTCTCGCAGATCGGAGCATCAAGATCGTTTTCGATGGTGCTTGCTCCGACCCTCACTCTGTGAATGCTGGTGTTCCACAAGGATGTGTGCTATCTCCGACTCTGTTCCTTCTGCATATCAATGACATGTTACAAATCAACAACATTTATTGCTATGCGGATGACAGTACCGGAGATGCCTTGTACAGCGGCCATGCTAATATGTCGCAGGCAAAAGTTATAGAGTACCGGAACAAACTTGTGTCCGAAATCGAAACTTCACTCCATCAAGTTTCGGTTTGGGGTCAGGAAAATTGTGTTCAATTCAACCCCAAGAAGACACAAGTTTGCGCGTTTACCGCTAAAAAGAATCCATTTATCGTATCTCCTCAGTTTCAAGACACTCTCCTTGATGTGAAGCCAAATCTCGAGGTCCTTGGCGTTGATATATCCAGTGACGGTCAGTTTTGCGGTCATTTGGAGGACAAGGCTAAAATAGCCTCAAAAAAGCTTGGTGTGCTCAGTAGAGTGAGATGGTATTTCACGGCGGCCCATCGCTTGCAATTATACAAGGCGCAGATCCGGCCGCACATGGAATACTGTTCTCACCTCTGGGCGGGAGCACCACAATACCAACTACTTCCATTTAACCGCATTCAGAACCGAGCAGCCAGAATCATTGGTAATCAACGTCTATATGACAGACTCGACCCATTGGCTTTGCGGCGTGACATTGCATCTCTGTGCATTTTCTACCGCATATATCACGGGGAGTGTTCTGACGAATTGTTCGGATTAATACCAGCTGCTGAGTTTCACCACCGTACCACCCGCCAGAAACTGAAATACCATCCTGATCATCTGGATAAATGGCGGTCTTCCACCGTGCGGTTTTCTAGAAACTTTTTGCCTCGCACAACCACATTATGGAATCACCTTCCAGCAATGGTATTTCCGAACCGATACGATATTGAAACCTTCAAGAAAAGTGCTTATTCCTTTTTAAAAGGCCGACAACGTACTTGCAATTCCCCTGGTGTTGCGGGTGCTCATGGGCGGCGGTAATCACTTACCATCAAGTGAGCCGCAAGCTCGTTTGTCCCCTGTGTTATAAAAAAAAAATGCTGATGTTCGCAGCTGGCCTTCACAGCTTCACCAGACGATAGCGGGTAATTCCAGTTGGCACTCCAAACCCGCGGAAGGATTTATGGAACGGCTGAAGGCAATCTCCCGCCTGACGGATACGACTTTAGTATGAGGGCACCGCTAGGGGTTCGAACCTCGGCTCAGGCCGCCGTAATATCGATCCCCGAATTGGACGGGGGATCTATCGCAGGGGAGGTATTCAAGATCACTCTCCACATCATTTATATAAATTATTTTTGCGGCTCGCACAAAAATTAATGTCTATTAATTATATACAAACTTTATTTATAATAAACAGTAGAATAAAGAAATGTAACATTTACAAAAAGTAAAGACTCCTATACAAATTTTAATACAAACGATCGTATTGCATGTTTGAACAAGAATCTTACAAGTAACCCGTAAAAAAAATTAGCTTTAGTATATGCAGTAGGTACATACTAAATTCAAACATTTTTTTGTGTTTCTTGTTACATTTTATTATAATTCATTTTATCGCAATATATTGATGGGAAAAAGTAAAAAAAAATATAGAAATGCTCGGGCTACATATATGTAAATGTTTATGGGTTGCTAGCGGCTCACGGGCCGCGTGTTGTTCATTCTTGTTTTATCTAGACACGCGGTAGCGTGTCAAGCCGAGTTTCAAGTAACTGGCGAGCAGCACCGAGTGTATATTTACACAGAAGGGGTTAACGTAAACTTCATACAATATTACAGTCCGTCCAGTACAAGATGAGCTATTTTTGCCAGGGATCAATGTTCATTTTGGCTATCGACGTTTTCATAGAATTTTAGTATTCGGCCAATATAAGTTGAAATAGAATCAATTAAAGTGAAAAATTATAATAAAATGATAACAATTTACCAGTTTCAGATTTTTTCCTTTATATTCACCTAATTACCTATCTGCATGGCAAATTTGAACTTCCTAGGTCATCTGGAAGTGGGTTATAATTTTGATCTATAGTTGATCAGTGATAAAAATGACGATATTTGGACGTTAATATCTAAATAACCGTTTGAGATATGTTTATGAAATTTGGAACACATATTTATCTCGCAAGTCTCAATATATGAACCAAATTTGACAGGTTTATGTGAAAGATTTTGAGTTATGAGGGGGTCAAAAGTGGCTCCAAATGGTTCGTGTAAATATACACACGGTGCTGCTCGCCAGTTACTTGAAACTCGGCTTGACACGCTACCGCATGTCTAGATTTTAAATGTAAATTAGTTGTTAAAAGGTTACTTTACAATATATATTTTAATTATAGGTAATATGAACTATGTTTAATTGCATTTTTTCAGGCCTGGTGTACTATAGCAGCCATTGCTATTCGAGCTCGAGCATTTAATCTGTGTTCAAAAGCCTTTATAAAACTTGAAGCCATAGATGTAAGCAATATAAAACTAATAATTTTCTCTTAATATCCTCTATATATATATATCATCACATTTTTTAATCATTTCATATTTATATCTAAAAACTAGTGTTTATAAATCTAAAATAGACTCCCTCAGAGACATATATCATCAGTTTTCTAAACCTTTCATAAAGCTCACAAGAACTAGGGGTTGTTAAGTATTAAGTTGTGTGTAAGTATGCTGCAGCAAAAATTTGGAACGACTTGCCCCCGCCAGTTCGTTCATCACTGATTTTATCCTTACCAATATTTAGGCGCAAATGTAGCAAGTGGTTGCTGCAAGAACAATCCCTCGTTTCGTAGTATTGTAATCTACTAAGTTGTGTTGATATGTGTGTGTACGCGCAAAAGTCTGCATCTGATGGTATATATGATAAAATAATGCTGAATAATTCTTAGTTTTTATGTAATGTTGTAACTAATCCTGAATAATGTTTAGATTATATATATTTAAGTTTTTTATTGTCCAATCTTATTAGTTTGTAATCTTGTCATTGTCAATTTCTATGTTTACTTTGTTAGTTGTAGTTTAAAACTTAATATGCTATTGTCGTCGTTGATCTCATATTGTATTATTTTACTGATAAAGGCTATAACAGAATAGCAAAGAGGGTGCCCTCACTGAGTTATAGACCGTTTTGTCTCATTCATTAGTTTTAAATTATATTATTGTATGGGCAACAGTTGTATTGTGTGAAAAGTTTTTGTTTGAGACAAATAAAGATTATTATCATTATCTTCCAAAAAAAAATCTCATTATCATCATTATTATTATTGTTATGTGTAATTATAAAAACAATACTTGTTGCAGCCTTTTACTTTTGAGAATTTGGCGATAGAAATTTTTACAAGATGTAAACCTACAGATGCAAAAGGAAATAAAATTGATTGTTCAAACTGCCAAGCCTCTATATCCGAATGGTGAGTAATTTCTTTATTTATTGTACCGTATTACAGAAAATAAAAAATCTTATGGTGAAAGCAGACATGCATGCATGAAATGTACAAATGTTATTGTTTTAAAACGTGTTCCAGCTACATGGGATGAGATGAGCAATCGTTTTTGCAGCCACATAGAAATAACTTTTGTGTAACTGTCTTTCCGGTGTTTCCTATTCCTACATAATATACATAGGAAACACCCAGACAATCATACTCATGAATACAAATCTTTGTACTATGCGAGGAATCGAACCCGCGACCAACGGAAATACGACGGTGTGCTAAACCGCTAGACCTCTATATGCTAGTCGCAATAGACTAATGACAAAAAAACGTTATATGCACCACACAATGTGGAGGTTGTATCTTATTACGCTATATTTATAGAAAAGAACATTAATCGCTAAATATTGATTATAATTGTAGTTTGACTACGATAATAGCGCTGTGCCTAATATTATTAGATAATAAATATGTAGTCGCTGACAGGTCACCGAGTTGTTCGGGATGCGGTGCGATAGTGGCGGGGTGCGCGGTGTCGGGGCGCGCGCTGGGCGCAGGGGTCGCGGGAGTGGCGGGGGGCGCGGTCGCGTGGCGCTGCGCCACGTGCGGGGCGCGCGCGATGCCCCACGAGCTCGTGCTGCGTCACTCGTGCCCCATGTGCCACGCTGCACTCGACCCGCCACACTGACTGCTGTTGCTGCGCACCATACTAAGGACTCGATGGAATTTTGTCCTGTCTAGTTACTTAGTAGTTAATGCTTTAAAAATATTTCCTATTCTATATTCTCATCGCACGACTATTTTTGGCACAAAGTTATCGCACTGCGACTACCATTGAGAGTGCGATTACAGATTTGATACTTCACCGTCTTTGTTTATTAAAAGAGAATATCCACATATCACTAATGTCGATGCACGATCACGTGATGGATGATGTAATCTTGTAAGACTTGTTTATGATGCGATAAAACTTTCTTAATGTCCATGTTAGTCACATCATATGTATTGTTTCATGTAGAACAGCGTATTGATATAGTATGCGGGCAGGTCGGTTTAGAATTTACTAGTGGCGAAACAGTATTATTTGCAAAATGAATATTTTTATGACTGCATACAGCAGGAAACTGATAGTGTAATCACTGTGTATGTAACTATAAACAGCTATTACCATTTTAATTATGTTTTAGTCTTATACAGGTTCCTGACTTATTTATATCTAGTCTTATTATAATACATTATTTTATAAGTTATTTTTAATGTAAGGAAATTTAAAATAATATTTGTTCTAATATTTAATTAAAATTGTTTCACAAAATACAAGTTTCTAAACCAAAAAATATTGAAAATGCATTTTTAATATGACTTGTTATTTGTTCATTTTTGTCAGAGTACAATTATTTTGAACTTGGCATTAACTATATAATAATGATTTGTAAGCCACAATATGAACATATTTTTATAAATGCATAATATAATTTTCATCCTAAAGGTAACTGACGAACTAAATTATAATCCTTTATGTATAATGTTATTCATTGATCAAAAATGCTAAGGAGATGCGTAAAACAAACATTTACTATATTTGGTAATAGCATAATAGGAGAATATACGGAGCTGAAGAATGAAACTTGTCACACAATTTGCTATTTCATCCCAAAGAAATGAAAATGCTACTTTCACTGCTATTTGGTCTTCTTAGAATTTTATTCTTCTATATAAATATTAATTATTGGATTAATATTGTTATTAAAAGTGCAAAGTATGCAATGGAAAACTCAAATTAGAAAAAAGCATCACCATTTTTCTTTAATCCTTATAATTTATTGAAACAAAACGCGACGTCATTTCCGCGATATATGCTGTGTGATGCTGCTGTTATTGTATTGAAACGTGGAAAAATGGTGGAATTCAGAGAGGTCGAATTTCATGGATGTTTTATTATTTTAAAAATAAAAAGAACATTTCCAAGAGTATTTTATTGTGTATGTTTCTTGGATTTGTCAGGCACAATACCCAGGCCCATAATTTGTTGCTATTTCGACCTTCCTAACGGCTTAGTGAGATATAAAAATATACTACTAAATTTACAAAATAAAAACCGATATTATTCATGCACCGGTTTATTAATTATTACCAAGTTTGACGTAAAAAGAGAATTAGATATCTAAAAAAAGCTTATGTGTACTTTATTATCCTGTTAAAATCAATGACAGCGAAATATCTGCAGTTATGAAGACGATTATAAATTTAGCAATGCTGTGTTTTTACTACTATATCAGTAATAATTTTTATTACTATTTCAGTAATATTTTACAGTTAGATCAATCTAATCACAGAATCTGAGTATATAGTGTTCCCAGTAACGAAGGAGCACACTCCTCCAAGTAATGTTATAATGTAATATGTATTTCGTCGTTTGTTGCGAGCATATAGCATGTAAGTCTTTTACCAAGTACCACTCGACATCTACTTGTTTTGTTCCAGTACAACCATATTTAGTTAACATTAACATGTAGATTAGACCAGTATTATTCCTAAAATAAAACAAAAAGAATCGATAGGTGCCGCGACTAATATTGATCACAAATTTAAGCCAAACTATACTTTCGTAATTATTGTGTTATGTAGTTTAGTGTGTTATTTCAATTGTAGACATTTTTTTACTAATAAAACTGTATTCATACAATTTTAAATATTTATATGTACTTTTTTGTTTACTTATAATAGACTTTTATAAATAAAAATAATTAAACAATCCGTCTGATCTGTTGTAAAATAGAAGTACTGTAGACTGTAATAATTCGGCACTGCCTTGCAATTTATGACTTTAATATTATTATAATATTTGGCAAACAATAGTGTATCTACTAGTGATAAGATTGAATGACTCTTTAACTATGCAAATATAGTAAATGCTACAATGTTCATCCCCATAACTTACCAGATTAAGATTTAAAGTAAACCACAGCCCCTATTTGTAATAAAATAACTAGTTTTATTGTAACTTTATACTGATAAATACATAATAAAATGTACACATTATTGGACCAAGTTATTATTTGGTATATCTATTTTAGAAAATTGTAAAGTATTATCAATTATTTGAAATAATTCTGGCGGTTGCGGAATTCTTCCAGTTTCCAGTTTCGACCAAAGCGGTATATTATTGAGTGATATCTCAAATGCTCCAGAGGACACTAACTGTCCTTCTATCATATTCGCTAAGAAGAACATCATCATACAAGCATAGATTTTATTTTCTAAGCACCAACTCCACCATGACGGTTGGGGCTTGTTTAACCATGCAAATATATTAACTCCACTCAATATGCACATGATTAGTATCATTTTGCCTAGTCCCTGTAACAAAATAAAAATATATTTTAAGTCAAGCCTGACCATTATTCTGAAAGTTTCTAAAACACCTAAACTAAATATAAGTTTTCCCTTGATTATAAAAATATTTTGACTGCTAAATAACAATTTGCAAACTACAAACAATACATAAGTTCAATTGAGATTGGTTAAAAATATGACTATTGAAGTTTACTTGAAAAAAAAAAGATTATTTCTATTTCTTCATATGTAGTACAGAAAATTCGAATGGAATAGATATATTAAACAATCGAAGGGAAATAAACGAAAATAAGGGTCGGTAACATTCATCATTATTACGCGCTTATAAGAGTTTTTATTACACAAAATTATATCTAATTTGATAAAGGAAAATATATTAAAATATACACCGCCATTTAGTAAAAATACAGACATACTTTGGTTTTTATAAAATTAGTATGATTGTTATATATAATTTTATATTAAAGGTGTTCTAAATGTATGCCACTTAGAGAATTGAAAGTACTTTTACAGTATATAATTTTCCAGGAAACATATTACATTAAATACTGTAGACATTGGTGGTTTAGAATAGTGAGAAGCTCTCTAACCAAATTCAAGAAATAATACTATGCTTAGAAATTTCAAAACAAATGTAACCTTCATCATACAATATCCAATTCCCTATTAGATAGGATGCCTGAGATGGAGTTGCATTTATATAGGGCACACAGTTCCTTTTTATATGATGGCTAAAGAATATTTACTATTTTATTTAATAATTTTTATAGTTGGATTGATTATTGGATTCAATTATTCCCATCAAATTCCAATTATATAGCAGTTCCATATATACATTCACCACAACAGTGATAGCAACATGATCAAGAACAAGACTCCGAGTTCATAAAGTATTAATTTGGAGTCTTGTTTTTGATCATAATGTAATCATCTAATAATATAATTGATGTAGGTGACCAGAACTCAAATATTTAAATGATTAAAATTGGTCAAGTAAGACATCTTATAACAAATTAGTCTATAATTTAATTTAAGAAAACTGGTGAAGAACTCTAAATTTACTCTATAGGTGACCTTCATATTTTACTTATTATTTATTTATTCCATCTATTAATACTTAATCTACTTACAATCATTCTTGATAAGTACATATTTAAGCCAGGTGGATCATAATTTGCACCTATTACAGATATCTCTGGGTACTTCTGCTGTATTATACCAGCATAATCTTCAAAAACTTTTCTGTATCCACAGGAATAACTGTAAAGAAATATTTTTATTATTATTATACTAGACCTAAATGATTTTAAGAATAAATTGATTGCTGCTAGTAAGACTGAACATCTACACAACTATGTCTACTTTAAGAGATATACTGACTTGGTAAATTTAGACTTGACTTTAGACCAAATTAACTGACGGTAAGTGGTGACCATAACATATATACATGAGTAATGACATCACATTATCCTGTGATATATGCATTGCCGTTCCAAAGAATTAATATGTCACTCTCTTATCTTTAATATCGTATTCTAGTGTAGAATTAAAAAAAAAATCAATTTTTTTTTTCATATTTTCAAAGTTTAACTATCTAAGAATATGAGTACGAGAGGATTTTTGAAAATTTGAATTATTTTCGGAGATATAGGCATTTTACTGACCCGGTCTCCTAATTGGACAAAAAGCATTAGGGTTTCTCCGTCTACCTGAATCCATAGAAGATGTGTAGGACATGTGCAAAAAAGAATGGGTGCAAGGCTACGGAAAGCGAAAAGAGACAATAAAGGCATTGGTGGTAAAGGAGAGGGCAAATTAACAGATAAAATTATAAATAAATTGTCTTTGTATTATGGCTTAGCAATTCGTCGGCACTCAGACTCTGTTGAAGACATGAAAAATGCAGTTTTGGCTACTTATTATCATAATAGCTCCACAGACGAAAATCCACAGCATACGTATTGCCCACCTGGTGCGGAGAGTTGGTGTGCGTGGCAAAAAGCTGCATCTGAGGGTATCGAAGAGGAGTTTCAGCATGATAATGTTCCTCTGTGTAATGAAGTCTTAAAAATTAATAGACCAATTTATGACAGTTTATCGTCAGATGAATTATTAACTCGATGTTTAGGCTCAGAAACTCAGAACAATAATGAGTCTCGAAACTCGTTGATTTGGACTTTCGCGCCGAAACATATTCATTCCGGACCTCAGGTAATTGAAATAGCAACATTTATTGCTGTTTGCATATTCAATGAAGGTTTCTTTCCGATTTTAAAAATGATGACCCTTATGGGAATGCAAATTGGGCGAGAAACTCATTCATTTGCTGTGAGACGAGACAACGCCCGGATTGAACGATCTGAAATACGTACAACCAACGCTTCAAAGGAGGCTAGAACTGCTCGATTGGAAGAGAGAATGGCAGGAATGGCAGATTAAATAAAAGTAAGGATAACATATCATTTTATGACTTTGACAGCGAAAAACTTCACGCGAAACTTTAAATGCGTTTTTGTCAGAACAGACTTTTTCAGTACTCTTGCCACGATTTCTCGAGTTCTACTGGACCGATTCACTTGAAATTTTCAGAGAGTTTTGTTTATAGATCTATCTGTAGCCCGAACTAGCCACATCCCCAAATTCCAATTTTTACTATTGTTAAAAAATTCGATCAACTCAAAAAAACAGTAAAAAAAATCACTTTTTTTTTCAGTCGCCATTTTGTCCAAAAATTTTTTTTTACTTATCGCTAGTTCGTGCGATTGTGACATCATTGCAGATTAATAATCTTTTTTTTTATTATTTTAGATGACTAGGAGGGTTGGAATTAGGGTTCATTCCCGGGAATTCTCGGGTCGAGAATTCCCGGGAAATCGCTGGGTTTTGTTCCCGGGAAATTAAGCTCGAGAAAAGTCGAGAACTCGAGAAATCAAGTACCTATATAGAAATTAAAATGCCGTTTGTTGTATTGCGTGGCGGCGCAATAATACAAGATATTAAGGTTTTCTTTCATGTATTTTTTTTTATTTTACAGAAACTATTTTTGTTTACAAGTTTAAGGTAGATTTTTTCTAAATAACCAGCCAAAAATGGTGCTGTCATTATAAATATAAGTCTGAATAATATTAGGTCCTAACATATGAAAGTGGTGTTTTGTAAGGGAGTAACCTGAGGTATTTTTTTTTTTTCAAAATATAACATGTTTATTTAATCAAACTATGTACCATTGCTATTTATGCACTTTTGCCATCTCATAGATCTCTTTACTGAAAAAAAAAAACATTTGAACGGGAACATTTGGACATATCAATAAAATCTTTGGACTTTGGACCCATCGGATTTGAATTTTTTCCCAATCAGAGTTATCCAAATTTCGAAAAAAATGGTAATCTGTTGGAGCAAGAACCGGGGACCAATTGTAAAGTCTTAGACATTACAATTGAACCTCTTCTAATTTGGTAAATGTCAGTTGTGCAGTGTGTGGTCTAGCGTTGTCCTGAAGCAGCAGTAGCCTACGGCGATTGACCACCTTCGGTTGTTTAGCAGCTAGCTTTTCCATTATGGTTTCTGCTTGCTGACAAAACACATCTGCCGTAATCATCTGGCCAGATTTAAGAAAGCTGAAGTGAACAACACCGGAACTAGCCCACTAAACGCTCGCAAGTAACTTTTTTGGGGTCAATTTTCGCTTGGGGCAGGATTTGGTTGGTTTGCCAGGGTTCAGCCATTGCGATGAGCGTTTCCAATTATCATACAAGATCCACATCATCACAGGTAATGATTCGATTTAAAATCCCTTTATTATTATGCCGGTTGACTAATGTAATGCAGCAGTCTACGCGCGTTTGTCGATCAAAACGCGAATTGTCCACTCAATTCATGAGGGACCCACCTTTCAAGCTTTTTCACCCTCCCAATTTGCTACAAGTGGACTAATACAGTTTTGTAACTAAACCGCAACCTGCAACTAACTCGGACGTGGTTTGCGATGGATCTGCTATCACAATAGCCTTCAATTCTTCATTACCAACCTTGGGCTCCAGCCGCCCACGGGGATTGTTTTGCAGGTTCGAAATTTCCAGAACAAAAACGTTCCAACCAAAAATGCATTGTGTTTTGTTTTGCGACAGCACCACCATACACATCATTAATCCTTCGAGCCGTTTCTGCAGCACTAGTCGGCGGAACTCATACTCGTACTTGTAAATGACGCGATATTTTAAGTTTTCCATTTTGTAAGCTGAGTGACCCAAAGAAAAAACCACGCATATGTATTACGGTTTTTGAAAAACAAATACATGAGTGAATAGCCGTATAAATTTGAAATTGAAATTTCTAACCAATGAGGAGATATTTAAGATCAAAGTGGCCAGTACGACAAAGCTAATATATTTCAGTATTTAAAAAAAAATATTGCATATTCATAATATGTATAATATATAACAATAAAAGTTTTATAATTAATTTTATAGTTAAATTTTATATTTAATATTTAACAAAAAATGCAGTGGTTTTCGTCTCAAATGAAACCACTGAGATTTTTGACGTTATTGGAACCAAATAATATGAGAAAACGTACGTAAATGTAAATTTCTCGACAACCCGAGAAGACCCGAGAAATTAAGCTCGAGAATTCTCGAGACCCGAGAAATTGAAAAGCTCGAGAAATCATGAACCCTAGTTGGAATCATGACAAGACTTAGGTGCCAATTTTTTGAGACTCCCCACTTCATCAGCTGCCAGTTTATTAAAATTTTAACCTTTTTTGTTTTAATTTATTTTTTGTATTTTAATAATATTAATAAACAGGTGATAAAAAAATGTACAGTAAAAATATTTATTGCTTTTTTTACATTTTAAAAATGACCTATAATTCACTGCTCTACACTAGAATACCCCCTTAAATTATTTATCCTGTAATTTCACCACCTAATCTCACCCTACATATGAAACTAATAGTCCAAGAGCCCACAACGGCCAAACTTACGTCTTATTAGTAAATGTGTAATTCATCAATTCATGTTTCTTAAAATAACGAATTTGATATGAAATTGTTTACACCTTTGTTGCCTGTTACCTGCCAAAGGAACCACGATCCAGGTTTCATGTTTGGGGATCATTCTTACCTGCGTTGGGGACACACATACAAGAACTTTCACATTTACTAATAAGACACACATTTGGCCGTTGTGGGCTCTTGCTCTATAAGTTTACATTGCATTTTGTATGGCAGCTGGAATTGATGATGATGGAAACATAAGTTTGCAATCAATTTTGTTTGATGAATGGGTATACTCTTTTGAATTTGTATACACTGGTAGCTGGAAAGTGATAGTATGAGTATGCAGTTGGTGTTTCTAGTCTAATGTCAAGTGATGAATTCATTAGGAAATGATTTACAAATGCTTTTAAGGCTAACTTGGTGGAGGTCAACCTGTGTTTATTGGAAATAAAAATATTTCCAATAAACAAAATGAGTGTTTGTTAAGTATAATTAAATGGTTTTTAGCAATGACAAGATCAGAGAATCAGGCATAAAATAGGTTTTAACATACTATTTAAATTAAATTAATTTAGACTAGATATATACTATTTAATTTAGTGTAAATGTGAACAGGCAGATAGGCAATGCCCAGTTGACCTGACATTTAATATGTCATCAATACATTTGAAGTATTCGAAGTGAAAATTTACATATGGTTTGATAAAAGAATACATTCAAAGTTAATATTTGTACCAGAACCAAGTTTATACAGTAATAATAATTCAGGAATTGTCTTGATATATGGATGGTGCTCTGTGAATTGTCAGGCAGTAGCAATTAATCCTAAGTTAAGCAGAGCTTGTGTTATAGGTACTGGACAACATATATACAATTTTTTTATATAAACACCCAGACAAATACAATCATACTTATGAGTATAAATGTTTGTATTGTGTGAGGAATTGAACTCACAACCAGTTGAAGTGTGCCTAACTATTACATCATTAAGGTCATCAATATATGTATTCAAAAAAATACATTGAGAACTATAATAAGGCCCAATTTTTTATTAGTGTCACTGAATGGCCACTTATCTACAATGTTTTAAAACATTTATATCTGAATATATTAAATTAGTAATAACAATATATTATAATAACAAGTCAATGTCACGATAATAAGAAGAGCTATGTGAATGAAGCAGTGACTGTGAGGTCCTATACATACTACAGGGACTACTGCTGATGGTTAATTTGTTATAAAATCAATTGATATATTCAATGTGTAGCTACTTTTTGTATAACAGCTATCCATAGCTATCCAACTGTACTTGATGTCTGGTATAATATCCTTAAATGTGAGACCAATTTATACTTACCAATAATAAATATTCATGATATGGCCTACTCCTTGACCAATTTTTGTAATACTCTCAACTTCATTCTCCCTTGCTTCTACTGGAATATTGGCAAATAATAGCAAATACGTAATAAAAATTGTTATGATTCCTATATGGACGCCAATAGTAGATAAAGACATAGTGAAATGGTTGTAAACACACTCTAACCGAATTCTAATTATTTTAAACACTAAAAATTATAAAACAAGTAGCACTGTAATAAAATTCACTATATTACAATTAAAAAGAAAAGAATTTTCTACTTTTTTTTAGAAATTCGTACAATTAGGGTTAAAACAAGACAAGAATTAGTGAATAAATGTCAATTGGTGACTGAGTAACTGAACTGACTGACAGACAACACACTTCTTTACTACAGAGTAATTAACTTTATGTTAATAATCTCGGCTATTTCCTGTTCTCTATTATTTTTGTTACACTGCTTTGTATACAAAGAGTCTATTCAAAGAGTAAAGTATTTATACCAAAAGGAGTCTATTTTTTAATCCCGGAAACAAAATTAATAGGTATAAATGTCAATTTTTAAAATATTATTATCACCTATAGCAGGGTAGTGCTGTACCTATGATACCGATTTGTTTAATCAGTATCGCAGGTATTAATTTTTAAAAATATATTTTTTTAAAGCTGTTAGAAGGAGATTTGCTTAGAGGTTGACAAAAGAAGTATGTTTGAATATTTGAATTCAAACTGTTTCTGTCGTCGTATTTATGTATCCGTATAACTTATCTATATTATTGTATATATTGCATTAAATGTGTTTTTATATTATATTATCTTGATTAGAAATATATTTTGTTTATCTATTTATTCTACGTTGTTTACTTGGACACCACTATAATTATTCTGTTAAAGGGAGAAGTTCAGAGGTAACTTCCCATATAAAAGCATTACATTACGTTTTCAACAGATTTTTAAAATTTACGTACATAGGTACATACAAAAATGGAAACACTAGTATATACATAGGTATATATTAGTGTTTCCATTATTGTCGTTATATTATACAATACGAAATTGCATTTTTGTGGTTTTGCAGATATAGTAATTTTTTACAGTATTAAGCTACAAACCAACAATTTTTTTCTTTCAAACAGCTAAATATTTAAAATAGGTGTATGTTTGCCATTTAAGATTCCAAGATTAAAAACAAACTATAGAAGATACTATAAAGAAAGAGATGTTAATGGTAAGGTTACTACGGCTACCTTGTTTATAGTCACTCTCAAAAAAACTGAAAAAGTGTGTGTCATATAGGTACGTATTCTATAAATTGTAAATAATAGTGTTAAAGTGTTCGTGTCGTGTTGTGTACCTACTCGCCCGATCCCTTCCAGTGTGTAATACCCGTATCTGCTTCCGTCTCCACCGCTTACAATATTTGGCAATGTTAGAACGAGGTTTGCAATCGATGTCTAGACTGGCTGGTATGGCAGATGAAGTATGTTTGTATATTTGAAAAGAGAGTGTGAAAGTGGAAAAGAAAATAAAATGCTTTATTTGCGAAGGTCCACACAAAGCATGTGACTGTCCGCACAATGCGAGAGAAGCTAAAACTGCTCACACAATGACGGCATTAGCTTTAAAGCATCACCAATCCACATCAAGAGAACACGATGAGACATGGATTATAGATTCTGGAGCATCGACACATATGAGTTCTAGAAGAAATTGTATGTATAACTATGTAGAGGCTAGTAATAAGGTAGAAATATTTTGCACGGATGGAGGTAAGGTATATGGTGAAGGTTTTGGTGTGATGACGAATGAGTCATTAAATATTACTATTGGAGGTGTAATGTATGTACCAAAGCTTGTATCAAACCTATTGAGCGTAAGTAGCCTGGTCAAAAGCGACAAGGTTGTTGTTTTCTCAGAGAATAAGAATGAATCAATAAGAATGAATGTATTGTGAAAGGTAAGAATTGGTTGGAAGGTGTGCTTGATAGAGGTGTATACAAACTAAAATCTTCTTCACAGGAAAGTGCATTAGCGACTACACAAAGCGGAGGCTTGGAGCTATGGCACAAAAGGTTAGCGCATTTAGGAGTACGTAACCTTAAATTGCTAAGAGATAAAATGGCAACAGGGGTAAGTTTCAAGAATGCACCTACTTGCAATTTACAATGTGTAGCATGCCTGATGGGTAAACAAACAAGACAACCATTTCTTAAACATACAAAGGCTACGAGAGCCAAAGAACTTCTAGAGTTAGTTCACTCAGATATTAGTGGTCCAATGACTGAGGAGTCTATCGGAGGTCATAGATACTATATAACATTTATCGATGATTATTCTCGAAAAACTTTTGTATACTTTATTAAGCATAAGAGTGAAGCTTTTGATAAGATTAAACTTTTTAAAACTTTTACAGAAAAACAAACTGGTAAAAAGTTAAAGGTCTTGAGAACAGACAATGGAAGAGAATATGTAAATAATCAAGTAGACGAGTATCTAAGGGAACATGGCATTAAGCGTCAACTCACGAATGCATACACACCTGAGCAAAACGGAGTTGCCGAACGTGCAAATCGCACTATAGCAGAGAAGGCACGTGCGATGCTACAAGAAGCAGGTCTCCCTACTCGTTTATGGGCGGAAGCAGTGAATACTGCAGTCTATTTGAAGAATAGAAGTCCAACAGTTGCAGTTAGAAATAAGATACCTGAAGAGGTATGGACCGGCAGAAAAATTGACCTAAACCACTTAAGAATTTTCGGATGTATGGCCTTTGCACATATCCCAGATGTCAAAAGGACAAAATGGATTCCTAAAAGCAAAGAAGTTATTTTTGTTGGATATTCCGAAGAATCAAAGGGATATAAATTATTCGACCCCTCAACAGAAAATTGTTACGGATCTAGAGATGTCATAGTTTTTGAAAACCAGTATTACCGCATAAACGATGAAAACAAAGAACAAAAGTATACAACCGTCAACCTTGATAAAATTTCAGAGGAAACTGAACAACCCAATGAGAACTTTCAACATGAAGAAGCAGTTCAGGAAGAGGATTTGCAAAGGAATGATGGAGATCATACCGATGCAATCACGGAAACTGAGAATATTGAATACGAAGTTGACCGGTGTACATCTTTTGAAGACAGTCTAATGAAGAACCTACAACCGTAAGTGAAGAAGCTGAAGTGCAAGAAAGGAGATATCCGACTCGAGTAAGGAAACCTGTCCAATTTCCTGATTACGTTACTTACCAAGCGATATCAGAAGATGATCCACTTAATGTTAGAGAGGCACTGTCTAGAAAAGATGCCAAGCTATGGAGAGACGCTATACAGGAAGAACTAGATGCACTAAAAAAGAACAAAACTTGGGTCCTAGTGAAGGCTGACCAAGCGAGTAACATTGTTGATTCGAAATGGTTATTCCGAATCAAAAAGGAGGCGGGGAATAAAACTCGATACAAGGCCCGCTTAGTTGCCCGAGGCTTCAGTCAGAGGAAAGGCATCGATTATGATGAGACATTCTCCCCTGTAGTGCGACATAGCTCACTGAGACTGTTGATAGTTTTGGCTGCGCAAAATGGTCTACAGATAGACCACATGGATGTCAAAACAGCTTTCTTAAATGGTAATCTCAATGAAGTTGTTTATATGAGGCAACCACCAGGATTTGAAGAAAAAGGTAAAGAGGATTATGTATGTCTATTAAAGAAATCTTTGTATGGTTTGAAGCAGGCACCACGTTCCTAGAACCTGAAGTTAAATACCGAGCTAGAGAGCTTAAACTTCAAGCGTTGCAAGAATGAACCCTGTGTATATACAAGAAGAATAGAGAAGAATTCTATCATCCTTATAGTATATGTAGATAACATTCTTATCCTGTATAATAATTCACAAGAAATGCAAAAGTTAAAAGTGACTTCATGTCAAAATTTGAACTGAAGGATTTAGGAAAGGCGGAGTTGTTCTTGGGCATGAGGCTCAGACAAGAGAGCGGCCGCATTAAAATAGATCAGGAAGAGTATATAGAAAAACTCTTACGCAAATTTCGGATGGAAGACTGTAAACCAGTCCAGCTGTTCCTGGTCATCATCATCATCATCGCAGAGAGAGGGTCCTGCATCCAATGCCTTCCCGCGAACCAGATCGTCGGTCCAGGCCTGAGTATGCGTCTTCCGGTCCGTGGTCGCCATAGAAAAATCTCTTACGCAAATTTCGGTTCTTCTGCGGATGGAAGACTGTAAACCAGTCCAGCTGTTCCCATAGGTCAACATTTTATAAAACCAGACAATAAGCATAGGCCAGATGAGAAAGTTCCATATAGGGAACTTATAGGTTCACTCATGTATCTTGCTGTATGTACAAGACCCGATATTGCACACGCAGTGAATTTTATGAGTCTATTTTGCAGTTGTTTTGAGGTAACTTCCCTCACAATTATTCCCTTGTAATTTAACGAGCATCATTAAGAAGCCGGAAACACTTGCATCCTATGATGCCCTGGCTAAAAGTATTATTTATAAGTTAAAACAGCTTAACAATACCTAAGTGTACACTACATATTTGCGAAAACTTTTTATTATTAAATTTCATATTTAAATATTAAATCTATTATATACTTTAATATTTTATGTATAATATATATGTAATTATGAAAATATGTATAATGTATATTACATTATACATATTTTCAGTACATTACAGTGAAAACTTCTAATAAATATCCCCTGTATCTAATCGCAGCGGGAGCCTAAGAATTTTTAAATCAAATATATACGTCTAAAAAAAATAAACCGTGGAACAAATAAAGGAAAAAAAAACCGAATTTCAACTCGAGTTATGTTTATTACGAGTTAGCACATCTCTACTGAAGATCGCAAATAGCTGGTATTAGAAGTAATGTTAAATGTGTCTTTGATAAAAAAAACAGGCTGTAATTTAACTAGTTTAACTGAAAACTACGGCTGTATGGGCTTAGACTCTTTAGCCTTTCCTGTAAGGAATAATAAGGATAAAAAAACTTTATAATTTTGTCCTGTCACATTTTAATATTTATTTAAAAATAATAAGAAAGTTTAATGTTATCCCTTAAAACTTCATTTCACTTGTAATTTTTCATACCATCACCATCAAAAGCAGTATGTCACACGGACATTGTCACGATCACGACCATGATCATAGTAATTCCGAAGATATCGGTATTAACTATAATTTATATGAAAAAATAGACAAAGAAAATTTGCAGTGTTTAAATGAAACTGTAGATGGTTCTGGGAAAACCGTATTTAAATCATGGGAGAGGAGACTTGATTTAACAGAGGTATGTTTTTGTAAAAATTTAACATCGAAAACAACAATGTAAACATAGTTTACACGTTTCCATTCCACACCAGAATAATAAGTTATTTTGTGTAATTTTTTAGAAAATACTAAACAATCGCGCTATGTGCGCGTAAATGTGTAAAACAATAAGATTGAAAATATGTTATTAAACTGGCAACAGTGCAGGTAGTTTAAACATTTGTTTGTTTTTTTTATTTTATTCGTTAATAACTAGTAGTGCTTGCGACAATTTACGGGAGTATATTTTTGATAGTTATCTCTTCATTATAAATGAGGATCTTTTATGACATCTATTATTTTACTAACAAATTAATTCTTAATTAAAAATCTATAAAAAAGGATATGTATATATCATACAATTTATCCAAGGAAATCACATAATATTCCATGATTGTTATTATCGTATTTAAGACGTTAAAGGCTGTATTGAAAAAAAAAATACTCAAATAGGGACCCACATTTTTAATAATAAGTTAATTACATACTTAATTTTTTAAATATATTTTTAATGTACTCTACCTCTATCTCTACCTCAAATTATTATTTGAGGTAGACATTATTGAACCCCTAGAATTATTTAAATTAAAGTGCCCAAGGCTGAATACTTGGTCTCAACCTGTGAATTCACTTTCATTACGGAGTAACCCACTAGTGGGCATGCTGCCTTTAACATGTTAAAGAATATATTATTTTTAAGTTATGGCCTTCTGCTTGGATCATTAAAGAAAATTGTGATTATAGAATAGAAAATCATTTATTCAAATAAACTTAATTTAAGCACTTTTGAATAGTCAACATTTTTTTTAAATCTACCGCTTATTCGGAAAGCTCTCTCATCACAAGAAGAATAAGCAAGAAACTTGTGTGTTGCTCTTTTAAACAATCCTTGTAAGTTCACATTTTACAAGTCGAAACGTGTGAATACAAACTACCAACCAGCACTAATTTATTTAGGCTCAAATATAAAAACACAATAAGATTAAATCAGTCGTAGTGATAAGAGCAGACCAGTCCCTACAAGCAGCACTCATTCACGAGTATGACAGATGAGCCAGCCATCACTGCGCTCAACCATATTTTTGGGAGCCCAATGACCCAGCCCACCACGCCGCCGCATGTCTGGACATTTTAGTGAGCATGACTACTCATTCCACTCGACCACGTCACAGCTACAAAAATTACTATATGATAGTTACAGTATTCACACTTTACATGAGGATGCATGCGGCAATCAATACAAAAGCCGCTACGCTATCATATATCAAGAAAGCAGTATGAAAAACAAATTATAATGTTGTCCGCAAATAAACTTATACTTGCTATATATTGCTATCATCTATAAATTCATCTATCTTATAATAGGCTTTTTTACATAACATTTGTTTAATATAAAGTTTGACTTGCCTCTCTGTCAGATTTAGCATAGATTCTGGCAGTTTATTATAGAATCTTACGCAATTACCATAAAATGAATTACTAACTTTGTGTAGACGGCATTTAGGTAAAATTAACTTATTTTTATTGCGTAAGTTTCTACTTGTACAGTCTTTAAGTTTCTTGAAACTATCTAAGTTTTTCCTTGTATACATAATATTTTCATAAATGTACTGTGAGGCAACGGTGAGGATATTTGATTGTTTAAAGCATTGACGTAATGACTCTCTAGAACCCATAGCATAAATAGAATGTATGGATCTCTTTTGTAAAATAAATATAGTATTTATTATTATATGTATCTAAGTTCTCTGATCCTAAATAAAAATACTACATTAGCGAATACAACATATAAATTAGTTTGTAGTATTTACATGATAGGTATTAATTCAAACAAACAATAATTCGCTATGTGTGTTATTTCTTTTAATAGAAATTAATTAATGTACAAATTGTCTCAGGACTTCTATTACAGCTAGTATGAATTTTTACATGAGTAAATATTTGTAAAATTATACATTTTTTAGTTTGTTGAGAGTGATGCAGATGAAGAGTTATTATTTAACATACCATTCACAGGAAATGTGAAACTCAAAGGCATAAGAATAGCATCAGAAGATAACGAATCGCATCCTGATAAACTACGATTGTGAGTGCTTATTGGTTTGTACTTTATTCAAATGTAATGTGTCAAAATAACATTAATTAGAAATAAATGTTATTTTAACCTTTATTTTAATACAAATGAACTCTTCTCATAAGACCTCACACTTATATTATTAGTATAAGTAGTAGCACTGTTTTGCAAAGAAAGTAAAAATACTTATGCCCTCGGACTAGTCATATCTGTCAGGCAGGAGATGACAATCTTCCACAGGTTTAGAGTGCCCTCTGCACTCACCTTCGTTTTCGTCGCGTGAAATTAAAGGCCAGTTGTGGCCAATAACACTACTGTCATTACCCACTACTGGCTTTATGATTAGTCTGGTATATAAAGATAAAGATAAAGAAGCTTTTTTTTCTACATTCCTGTTCATTCATATTATTATATTATACTATAAATTTATTATTATTATATATAATTTTTTTATTATTATTATTTGTTAAGTAGTTTAATTTTTTTATATTTAATTATTAATTTCATTTTCTATATTATATCCCGCAGTACAGAGTGCCTTATAGCAAAGGCCTCCTCTAATTCCTTCCAGTGTACTCTATTTTGGGCTGCTCTTCTCCAGTAGGGGCCTGCTGTCAGCTTGATTTCATCCTCCCAGCGTCTCTGTGGTCTACCTCTTTTTCTTTTTGTTTCCCTTGGATACCATTCAGTTACACAAGTACTCCATTTTTCAGGTTTGCTTCGAATCATGTGCCCAGTCCATCTCCATTTTTGTTGGTCTATCTGTACAAGAATGTCTGTCAAGTTAGTTTTTGCTCTTATATCCTCACATCTGTGTCTGTCTTTTCTGCTTATCCCTAACATACTTCTCTCTATGGCTCTTTGACATCTTTGCAATTTCTCCCACTGTTCTTTGTTTAAGGCCCATGTTTCGCATCCGTATGTCAGACACTGCAGAATGCAAGTATTAAATGTCTTTCTTTTTGTTGACAGTTGTATGTTCTTGTTTTTATTATCTCTCTCAGAGACCAGTATCTCTTCCATCCACTGGCTATTCTTTTGTTTATTTCTTTATCTGTCTGATCTCTAAAAGACACCACTTGTCCCAGGTAAACATACTCTTCCACATACTCCAAGCACCCACCGTCCAAACCAACGTCAATCTCCATTGAGTTGGTTAGGATCTTGGTTTTTGCAGTATTCATTGACAGACCCACTGTTTTGCTTTCGTTTGACAGACTTTGAATCATTGTTTCGAGGTGTATAGGACTTTCTTCGAAGAGTACAATGTCATCTGCAAAACTTAGGTGAGTCAAATAGGATCCATTTATATTGAGTCCAAAGCCTTCCCAGTTCAGTTTACGGCAAATGCTTTCCAAAACAGCTGAAAATATTTTTGGGAGATAATGGGAGTAATGTCGTACTCCTTTATTTATTGGGAATGAACCACCCAAGGTTTCTAATTTTATTTTGGCTTTGCTTTCTGAATATATATTTAGTATTATTTGTATATAAGAGTAGTGTATGCCTTGTTGTTGTAGAGCTTTCCATATATAGCTATGTTTCAGACCATCAAATGCCTTTCTATAATCAATAAAAACGATATACAGAGGTTTGTTATATTCGATGTATTTTTCTATTAGCTGTTTTATAGTGTGGATGTGGTCGATAGTAGAGAAATTCTTACGAAAACCTGCCTGTTCTATAGTCTGGTTTTCATCAAGCTGTTTTGATATTATGTCTAAGATTACCTTTGCAAATACTTTGTACAGATTCGACATCAAACTTATAGGCCTCTAGTTTTCTATGTCATCATTTGTCCCTTTCTTGTGTATAAGGATTATGTGAGATTCGCTCCACTGAGATGGTATCATTTTTGTTTTTAGTATGTCATTAAAGATCAACATAAGTAAAGGTATTATTTCCTTCATGGCTGCCTTTATTACCTCATTTGGAATGTCATCGGGTCCAGGTGCTTTTTCTGGAGGTAGGCTTCTTATTGCTTTAGCTATTTCCGATGGTAGGATTGTGGGTACTTCACTTTCTGCCTCTCTTAATATTCTAGACTCCTTTTCTAGCACTGTATTTATTTTATCCTTATCAGAATATAATGTTGTATAGAATTCTGTAGCTATTTCTTTAATTAGTTTTCTGTCTCTTTCGCTTTTTCCCTTCTTTTTGAGGTTTGGTATCCATTCTTTACCATATTCTTTAAGTTCTTTGAGAGCTTTTTTTACTCCGCCTGTTTTTTTAATATGTTTTTCCAACGTTTCCTGTCTGCGTTTTCTTCTGTCCCGTCTCATATTTTCTCAATTTTCTTACTTATCTCTGCTATCTTTCTTATTCTTTCTCTTTCTGTTGTATATGTATCTTTACTTAGACTTTTACGTTCTGCTATTAGCTTGTAAGTTTCTTCGCTGAATTTGTTTCTGTTAGGAGTGACTCTCCTTCTTCCAGTTGATTGTTTAAGTTTTAGTTCCATTTTATTATATCTATCTAATAGGTTTAGGCCTTCGTATCCTATTTGCGTTAGAGACATAAGAGTAAACTTGTGTGGTACTCCAGAAGTAGGTCGTTGGTTGCAGTATCTATTTATTTTATTTTTATTAAATTTAGGCCTGGGTATCCTGAGGCAACTTCTTACCATGTGGTGATTAGTGTTGAAGTTTAGGTTTCTTATTATTGTTGTATCACTGAAAGCTTTGGGATGGTTACAACAGATATAATCAATTTCATTTTTGTACTTTGCATCCGGGGAGATCCAAGTCCACTTGTTGTTTTTCTTCTTAAAGATTGTGTTTAGTATCGTAAGATTGTGTTCCAAAGTGAACTCTATTAGTTTTTGCCCATTGCAGCTCCTTTTTCCGTAGCCATATTTTCCAATTATAAATTCTTACTCTGTTTGTTTTTCTCCTACTTGAGCATTAAAATCTCCCATTACTACAATATGATTGTTAGAGTACATTCCAATTGTTTCTGAGAGGTCATTATAAAAGGAGTCTACTACTGACTGTTCGGCCTGTTCGGTAGGTGCATATATTTGTATTATTACCCACTCTTTCAAATATGTAGGAATTTTGAGCCGAACGACAGCTATTCTATCTGTGACACCAATAAATTCGATTATGTCTCTCTTATAATTATTTTTAATGAGAAATCCTTCTTCTTTGCCTTTGTAGTACATGACATAATCTGAATTTTCTACTATTCCTTCCCCCACGCGTCGCATTTCACTGATACCCAATACATCCCAGTTGAGATCTTCTAATGCTAGTTCCAATTCTTGTAAGCTTTCTATTGTCCTCAGACTTCTAGTGTTTAGAGTACATATGTTGAACTTTAAGCTCCTTTGTTGAAGAATTAGAGGGTGTTGGTCGCACACCCCACGGTGACCAGCCGGAGTGGGGTTTTTGTTTTTTTGATTTATTTTTATGTTTGTTTTATTTCGAAATCCTGCACTTTGGTAGGGATCTTTTACTAATTGCTATTGCTTGTTTTCTGATATTTATTTTGGTTTCTTGTTAAAATAATCCATGACTTTATTTATTTTTTGAGGATTATGGGATATACTGGTAGATGGAGCATTTGGTGAGCATGGTTCTGAACGTTTCCGCTTGTCTTTCTGTGTCTCGTTTACGACAAGTTTATCGTAAGATATATAGTCTTTCTTTCCTTTGGCAATTTATTCTTGCTTTTTCATTTTTAACTCTTTACGTTTTAACAAGATATCCTATGGGAAGTCTTCGGTTACATATATGTTTTTCGGGAACTTACTTTTATTTTTAAGAATTTCAGTTCTTCACACATATGGATGTAAGGGTTAAGGTTATCAAGATAGGTCTAATTTTTGACTCCTTCTTTTTACCCAGTCCCTGTACTCTGCTTAGCTCCCACTTGTCCCATTCCTGTAGGGCCGTTTCTACGCTCAGCTTGTTAAGAGTTTCCACAACTAATTCTTGAAGCTCTGTATAGTTCTCTTCCTTTTCAGTAACGCCATGCAGTATTATATTGTTTTTTCTAGTTTGTTTTTCCATTTCAAGAATCTTCACCTTCAATGATTGTACCTCCTGCTTCAATTCTTTATTTTCTATAATCAATGGTTTTATTTTCTCATCAATTGTTTTTGATATTTCATTGGTCTGTTTATGTAGTTCTTCTCTCAGTTGGTGTAATGTTATCACCGCGGTATTTTGGCTGGCCATTATGGATTTCTACGATTTGGTAGTTTAGCTTTTATGTTGGAAACACTATGAAGTAGTTCGGACTAATAGTTTGACGTTTTATGTCTCTTTCAATGTCAGTTGTCAGACTTGTCAGTGATCGTTTCCTTGTGATAGTTGGCAATTTATGAATTTTGATCGTTAAATATTTTGTTTTCGTATATGTGTTGTTATATATATATATATATATATATATATATATATAGTCGTTTTACTTGATTTTGAAGTTTTTTGCTTGGTCGCAGTGTTTATTCTTTTGTTTTAACCATAATAGAGTTGGAGTAGTTTTAAGCTTCTATTTTGCACCACAATAAACCACTAATTTGCGCGATAAATCACTATATTTTAATTTTGATTGCGGAACAGTTTTGTGTACGTGATTTTTTGACAGATCCCAAACCGGAAGTCCGGTCTGGTATATAAGACTATTTAAATTTCATATTAGAAACAGTAGTTTCTGAAAAATTCTACCGTGTCAGACAAAATATCCGACAACATCATCATCACCTCTAAAGATTCTCCTTTTATTATATAACTGGTATGAGAAATTAGGTGACAGGCCATTCAATGGTAATTCGCTGCCTAAATATTATATACGAGTAAACTCTGGGTACCGTGTACTCTTATTGCCATACCTCACTCTAACCGAAACACAGCTTACAAAGAAGCGGTTTTGCGACTGAGTAAGACAGAGCTGGATGACTCCTACTAATCCGTGTAGACGACTTTGAACAAAGTCTAGCTCTGATTTCGATGACAAGAATTACTGCGTATTTTAATTAGTTTTATTTATTAGACGTGTCGTCAGATAACAACTAGTTTATTGTATACAATTGATGAGATTAATTCAGTAATTACAGATAGTCTCAAGTACATGTTGCGATAAGAATATAACAATATTATTTAACTGTGCCCTTGGTTTCATCTGAGTGAAATTTATAGGCTATTTGTTATTCTGATGTATAAGAATATCACTGCAAGTTTTAACAAAATCCGTTCAGTAGTTTGTGCCTTAAAGAGTAACAAACATCTATTCATACTCATAAACTTTCACATTTACAACATTATTAAATTATTTACATAAATTTCAGATATAAAAATAAACCAAATATGACATTTGACGATGTGTCTATGGAACCTGATCAAGTGTTTGATCTTCAAAAAGATTGTGAGGGACTTCTAGAGTATAATCCTAAGTGAGTTACTTGTTAGCAAATTACTTTTATTTGTTAAGACTACCACCATTTTTAAATTGAGTTAAATGACTATAGATATTTAAGAACATTGACTACCATGGTGGTCGAGCTATTTACATTATCTTTTGTACTGTTACAGTGGTCGAAATCAGAACATAAAGAATTTTAAGCCCCAGATTTTATGAAAATCTGCATAACAATAAACAAAACTTTATTTACTTTAATTATATTTATATTTAATTCTCTGCATTCCTTTACCATACGTATGTTTCATAAATAAAAAATCGCCATTGTTGTTTTTCCGTAGATATAGGTATGCAGATTAATAATATAATAATTATTTTTTCAGGATTGTTACATTTTCTTCAGTAAGTCATTTAACTATGCACTTTCCTAGTAATTATGGTGCAGAAAATACAAAGATATATTATATAGGATTGAAGGGGGAATGGTCTCCGGGTCACAAGCATGGTGTCACTATTTGTACATACGAAGCCAGACCAAATCTTGATGATCATAAGTTAAAACATCTCGATTCGATTACCAAAAGTATAGATTAAAATATCACAAATAATAGTAATAAAATCATAATATGGCATATATTGTATTTTATTGTTAATCATTCATATAAAATAAATATATATTGTTATATAGGTATACTGTATTGTGACACTTTTTATGTTCGGCAAAATATATAAAAACAAATTCAAGAACTGAAACTCAAAACTGATTAAATATTTAAATTGCTAAATATTTAATCTGTAGTTCAGTTTCAATGTTAGATTAAACTGAAAAGTTAGATTTTAACAATGTTCTCTTCTGACATTGTTAGCCGTGATCTCCGGGTTATGTCATGCCGCTTCTTTTATACGTTAACACAGATTTTTTTATGGTGCACCCACCTGCGCTAACGGTTTACGCTGGTGGGGCACCAGTGGAGGATAATAAGATGAGCATGAGGTCAGGTCAGTTAGCCCATTGTGACAAATTCACCAGGAATTTATTACATTGGTTTCCAGGAGGAACCGCATTGAGGTCAACCTGACATGGTACATTGCTAATAATGGGGTTATGAGTTCACATTACCAACAATCCCCCTCCCCCCTGTTAACATAGTTTTCGCGTAAGCATTTTTGGGTAAGCGCCCAGGAACCAGGGCCCCCAGACATTAGTTATTTTCTGGGTAACGAAATAGGTGGGATAACGTAGTTTGGTATATATAGTCCAGTCATTATAGTAAGTTCACCTCGGAATTCGAATTCAGAGATTCTTACCTAATTTAAGCTTAAATGACTGGACTATATACTCGAAACGCAAGCTCACTATCTCGGCCCGAGGGCCAACAGGTACCATGTGCTACCGGTAGGTACGTAAAAAACCTTACATGCTTTTCTTAAAGTCTGAGTGCAGATTTTTAGATATATTTTATAGAATGTTAATAATCAATAACACTATTGTGCGTTGTTCTAATTCGAAACTGCGTTGGTCTAATGACAGTTAGTGAAATAAAAATTTGATCAAATTGTAGCTTATCTGTAATTAATATTCTGCTTAGCTTTGCTTATAACTTATTAGCTTATACAAATCTATATTACTGTAGTTTCATCATTCAAATTCGTTTAGTAGTTTTTGCGTAAAAGAGAAACAATAACCATCCATCTAAATAGTTTTCGCCGTTATAATATTCTTATAATTCTTATAATTTTCGTTATAATATCTATCTATATATATATATATATATATATATATATATATGATATCTTTTGTACATCGGTGTACTGTGCTGTTTTTTAAACCTCTCGCCTAATACTGGATAAATTCTGCTCATAAGAAAAATGATCCCATGTATATTTTAATGTAATAGAAAAATAAATGTAGACAAGTCCTAATAGCTTCATGTTGATGTTGTAAGATACTCTCAAACAATAGTAACTACTCCTAAATTCCTTTTTCGTTCGTCAGAATTCTGTCTTTGTAATCACGGTCCATCATTTTCTTTTTAGGTTCCATCATGCTGATTATTTGTACTACTTATACAAAAGAAAGTAGTTGTTTCCGTCTGACTTTTTCTAAACCACGCAACGGATTTTGATCTCTTCCATTTGTTTTTCAATAATGTATATTTGAAGATTTTGTAGGTGTAAACATATCTACAAAATTTCTTGTGTGAACAAAAGGACTGTACTATAAAGCCAGCTAAGGAAGAAATAGTAAATATATTATTTACACACTATTTTTTTGTAAATACATACATAATATAAATGGAAAATACCCAGACCTATAACTAAATTTAGCTTTTTTTTTGGTTGGTAGACATTAAAACGAGTCATAAATTTTTGTGCTCCTCTTTTTTATTTATTTATATTTATAATTCATTCTATGATTTAATCTAACCTACACCTGGTTGACTCCTGATACTCTCTCTCTAACAAGTTTTCAACACTTACTTTATAATGGATATCACAGCGGAGCAACTTCTGAAAAGCATGGACGAACTATCATCTTTATTTAGCAGCTGAATGGAGGAATTTGAAAAAGGTGTGCAGCAACAGGCCTTAACATCTTTAGGTACCACCGTGAAAGGGTTATCAGCCAATTATTCTTCATTTAAGACATTCATATGGAAATGTTTCGGTTTACTCAAGTCTCTCTCTCTTACTATGTATATTTGTTACTGTTTTTTTTTAGTTGTCTGCATTTACTTTATTATAATTGGATTAATTATATTTTAAATAAATATATATTTATTTAGTGTATAACTTTAGTGCTAATAAGATTAATTCATCTTCACTACTATTATATCAATACTGTTATCTTGTATTTTTTAAGTAAGTGTAGTGAGCTCGTTAGTCAACCTAAGCAGTCAGTGTAGTGCCTGTAGATTTTATTTTATCTTAGATTTAGTTTTAGTATATAGATACATTTATATATACCTATATTTATATATTCAATATTTTATTATTATTTATTTAGTATTTCATTTATGGCCGTAAACGATGATTATTTATCTTGTTCCTCTTCTGATGATTTTGAGTCTGCATCGAGTTTTAATTCCTCTCTTACCGATTGCGACCCTCTTGATATTAAACTACAGACAGTTTTTGCCGATCATTCCAAATTACTTTCCCTTGTGCATATAAATGCACAGAGCTTATTAGCACATCATACCGACATCTCCTCTCATGTCATTTAGCGCCGGCATAGTCGACGGTATTTTAGTCTCAGAGACCTGGCTTAAACTATCTCGATCTTCCTTCTACCTGTTGCTCTATCCCGGGTTATAAACTATATCGAAATGATCGTATCACTTCGGGCGGCGGGGGAGTGGCGATTTATCTTAGAAGCCATATTTCAGCTGAATCGGTCTGTGTATCACAACCTCAACCTTCTACTTCCTCGAATATTTATATATGTGAATATATTAATGTCCATCACAAAAAATTGTTACTAGGTGTTCTATACAGTCCAAATATCATAATGGATTATTTCAATACTTTGGAAAATACTCTTGAAGCCTTGGTCCTCCGTTTTGATATGTGATTGTTATGGAGGATCTAAATACTTGTCTATTGAAAAGTGACTATAGGTCGGGAAAACTTATTGGTTTAACATCCGCCCTCAACCTCCAGGTTTTACCCATGCTTAATCCTACCCATTATTTTCATAATAGTGAGCCTTCCCTTATTGACTTGATAATTGTATCACACCCAAACTTGGTGGTATCTCATGGACAAATGTGTTCCCCTTTCTCTCAACACGATCTTATTTATCTATCGTATGAGGTACGTCCACCAAAGAATAAGGGTAAGGTTCACTTTCTTCGCGATTTTCGGCATATGGATCTTGAGCGTTTGAGAGGGGATATGAGGAGTGTAGACTGGTCTACTATATATCTTGCTAATAATATTGACACCATGATTGAGATACTAAACAGAGAACTGCTGAGAATTTATGATAAACACGCTTCGTCCTGTCCGTGTTAAACATGCTTCTGCGCCTTGGCTTACTCCCATTATTAGGAGATGTATGGCCAAACGTGACAGGGCTAGAAGTTGATACGAGCACGAGAGATCACAAGTTAACTTTGATATTTACAAAAAGCTTCGCAACATCTGCAACAGAATGTGTAGGGATGCTAAACGCCGATATATTCATTCTACTATATTAAACCTTAATCAGGTTCAAGTATGGAAATTTCTCCAATCGCTGGGTGTTGGCAAGTCCTCTGAATCTTGTCAGAGTGATTTAGATCTCAATGCGTTAAATAAGCACTTTTCTTCTTCTCCTGTTACCCTCAGTAGTCTGACCAAAGCTAATACAATCTCATTTCTTTCTAATCTTGCCCCACCCGATTGCCCTTCATTTATTTTCAGTGCCGTCACCGCAAATGCTGTTGGGAAGTGCAAGGGAATGACCCTTTCCACTAAAGCCATTGGCAGTGACAACATTAGTCTCAATATGATCATTCCTGCGTTGGAGGACATTTTGCCTGTGCTCACTCACATTATTAATTTTTCACTCGGGCACAGTGTCTTTCCATCACAGTGGAAAAAGGCTTTTGTCATTCGGCTTCCTAAATCCACCAATCCAAAATGCTTCTCCCAATTTCGCCCCATATCCATTCTTCCATTACTATCCAAAGTTCTCGAATCAGTTGTCCACAATCAGCTATACAAATTCTTTTCCACTCATAATCTGTTATGTCCGTTTCAGTCAGGGTACCGTCCCTCCCACAGCACTACCGGGGCACTCCTCAATATTACCGAGGATATACGACAGGCTATGGATGACACTAAATTGACTGCTATTATGTATTTTATTAGATTTTAGGAGTGCATTCAATTCTGTCGATTATGACATTCTCCTTGGTGCCCTCCGTGCCGTTAATATCTCTAGTTCTGTTATAGAATGATTCTCATCTTTTTTTTTCGGTCGCCAGCAATGTATTAAGACTAATGAGGGTTCCTCTGACTGGACTACTTTAATTGCTGGTGTACCTCAAGGCGATGTACTTTCTCCATTACTTTTTCTGTGTTTATCAACAAAATTTCTCGAGCCCTTACTTCTCCCTTCCATCTGTATGCGGATGACTTGCAATTGTATCGTCACTGTTCATTGTTAGACGTGACACAAACAATTGCAGCTTTAAATAGTGATCTCTTGGCTATTCAATCGTGGGCCAGTTGGTTTGGCCTCATTGTTAATCCGTCTAAATCTCAAGCTATGATAATTGGTAGTAGCAGACTAAGGTGTAAGGTGAATTGGTCTGTAGTACCTCCACTTGTTTATGAGGGTGTTCAGATAGAATATGCAGATAGGGTAAAAAACTTGGGTATAATTTTGGATAACAAAATGTCATGGACTTCTCATATAAATGATATTAGTAGACGGATACACTTTTCATATCACTCTCTTAAACGTCTCCAATACTTTCTTCCTTTCGGTACCAAAATTATGCTCGCACAATCTATTTTACTTCCCATTATAGACTATGCCGACGTCTGCTTCTTAGACGTGACTGAGGAGCTCCTTAATAAACTAGAGCGCATACAAAATTTAGCAATAAGATTCATTTTCAATTTGCGCAAATATGATCATGTTTCCGAATTCCGCGCTCGGTTAAAGTGGCTCCCAATCCGTCAACGACTTAATATACATATCCTGACCATGTTATTTAATATTCTTTATGATCCCAATTCTCCTTCCTACCTTCGTTCTCGCTTCCAATTGTTACCACCTCCCTCAAGACCCAAACGCCTTTGTCGTCACTCAAGGACACTTAAGCTTCCAAGTTGTAAGTCGCAATTTATGGGTAACACCTTTTCCTTTCATGCTGCTCAATTGTGTAATGGACTTCCGTTACGTATTCAGCAGAGCCCGTCTGTTAGTTCCTTCAAGAAAAGATTAAAATCATACTACCTATCTGCCATTGAATGATTACTTTTATCATTATTTATTTGTTTATTATGACGAATATATTTATGTATTATATAATGTGTATGTTTATTCCTATATCTAGACCGCCCTCATATGTCTCAATGTTTTGTTTCTCGATATCTAACCTATAAGGTTGCGATTTATGCTACGAAATTCATAGTTTTCTTAAATTATACTTATATATTTGTGGTTATATTATTATTACATTATTTTAGTAAATACGTATGGTATAGACAATAGTTTAAACCAAAAATTAATAACAATTTTAGTATAGTTATAAGTAGGAATGTATAGTTAACTCGAGAATGAGAATTGGTAACAAATTGTTTTCTTGAGAATTCAATAGATAACAGTCAATCAACAAAACAAGTCAATCAAATAACAAGTCAAATCACAAGGCCTTAGTTTTGACAGTCCTCTTCTCAACATAGGCTCCTCTATATTTAATAAAGGGCAGGTTTACGTTGGACTCTCCAGAGTTAAAACCTTAGATGGAGTACGTCTTAACAATTTAGATCCAAGTCACGAGAGCTCTATTGTAGAGTACCACCATCTGTGGACGTTATACCGCCCCGATTTGCCCAAAAATTCCTGATACTGAATTGGTATTGCACTTGAACATTTAAAAGTTACAAGAAAATATAGAAAATAACACAATAAAAAGACAATTATACCCCGTAAATATACGAAAATACAGTAATTTATCAAAAATAATTTGGTATTAATTTAGTTATAAATAAGTACCTCGTATAATTTATGTACAAAAAGTAATGATATCCCATCAAAAACATAAATGTGAAATGATAGCCGAGTTTAATATTATGATATATGCCTTGATTGTTGACTTCTACGACAAAGAGATGAGATCTAAATGGGTGCCAAGTTCAATGGTCTGTCCTGAAATGTATTTATAACAATATAAAAAATCATTTCTTCTTATAACTTAGGATAATATACTGTAGCCTAAGGTCTAACTTGGCTAGTTTTCATATACGAAATATACTGTAGCCTTCGCAAGTTCTAAACATGTTACTTGTCGGTTCCTATTTTAATATTAGTAGTAACTAGCAATCGAAAGTAATAATTGGTATATGAGAACTGGCCAAGTTAGACCTTAGTTAGGCTACAGTATATTATCCTAAGTTATAAGAAGAAATGATATTTTATATTGTTATAAATACATTTCAGGACAGACCATTGAACTTGGCACCCATTTAGATCTCATCTCTTTTGTCGTAGAAGTCAACAATCAAGGCATATATCATAATATTAAACTCGGCTATCATTTCACATTTATGTTTTTGATGGGATATTTGTATTACTATTTATGTTTATGTATATTCGTATATATGTGTTTTACTTTTGTTTTAGATTATACAATTAGTTATTTGAATTTTATTTAGTATCTAGGTTTTGACATTTTTTTTTGTTTGCACCAGTTATTACCCACTCAGTACCACATATCCCACTGTTTTAGGTTGACTGGAAGAGATCTCTTCTAGGGATAAGTCCACCTTTGCTCACATTGTCTCTAAATTATAATATCTTTGTATTATCTGTGCAATAAAGAATATATAAATATATAATCATACTTATCAATACAAATGTTTGTGCCGTGCGAACCAGCAGCATTGTGCAAAACTGATAGATTGTCACCAGCACCGTCACAAGCAGATAAAAGAACAATGACAATCTGTGTATAATAATTTCTATAAAACAATGACAACAAAACAATATATGAAAAGTAAGTATAATATACGCATAAGCCACCATCACATAAATTGTTGTCATCTGTGCGAAGTCGAAGGAGGTCGCCAGTATAAAATAAGTAAACAGTATCATATTGAATGTAAAAAATAATCTTTATTTACTGTGTATTTACAAATATTTCATATTGTTACTAATATTGTTTATTGTTGGAGATGTAGTTACTAATTAGGTTCTTCATTTATAATGAGTAAATAAATATTCAGCATCGATACTTAATCAATGCTTATGTAACGACTAGAGCTTACCTACTTACATTTGAATAAATATTTAGACCAAGGTGTCTTTCATAAATTACGTCTATAAAGTTTGGTACTATGTGTACGAGGGGTGGGAGGGATCATTTCGTAGTCATATTTTAAAATCTAAATGAACAAATATTTTAAATGGATATCCATCTATTTTTACAGTTATCGATTTTTGTTTAATTTAATCGTTTATAATTGTAAAACTGTAAAATAAATGATATGTCACACCAAGAGGGAGGAGTAATCACCAAGAACGAGGACAAGAGGAGTCAAAAATCATGAATACTTATGACGTAATGTATGAATAGCCCCTAGGTGCTTAAGAAAAATATATATAGTTATAAATAGGTACACAGCATTTTTTACTAGTTGTGTATAGTAATAAACCAATTCTGTTATTACTTAATAATTACTAAATAATTAAGAAAATTGTTATGAGATACAAAGTCTTTGTCTATTGATGAATTTTAAGATTATATTAATTGGTAAAAAGATCGAAAGAACAAATTGAAAATATATGTCTGCATAATTCGTTGTACCAATAATTATAAAATACCTACATAAACCATTCGTCATTTAACTTACCTACTTATCTTTACATTTATTCACTCTAAATTAATTTAACAATAATAATATAATTCATTATTAAACTGGCAGTGTTAAGTAGTTTACAAACTTAATTTCAATGTGTATACATTTGCAATAAAGTAACGTATAACACTTATGATATACCTAACTATCACGTATTTTTTATCAAAACATAATATTTATTTTTTATGTTTTTAACTAAAAATGTTGCCGTAGCAATTAGAAAAGCTCGATCGAAGTACGTACTTATATATTTTTGAAATCTTGTTCACGGTTTCCTCTTTTGAATATATCTTTTTCGACCTGTGTAGGTTCGGAAGCGTCTGTGCGTTGGGTATCTCGGTCGTTTATATATAGCGTTTGGTATCGATCCCACCGAGGCTGGCCGTACGTACGTCGGATTCAATGATGTATGTGTCTTTCTCATGCAAACTGCGCATCTGTATAAAAGAAAACATTAAGGTGATGTTAAAGGTTCCGACCAAATATTGTAAATTACAATTCCATACATTTGATAATCCTCTATATCTCTTGCAAGTAGTCGCTTGGAGTTGATTTTCAGTAATAGATAGGATTATTGGTATCATTACTAACAATGTGCATAATTACTATTAATGTTGCTACTTATCCCCCCTCCTGTTATGTTTATTAAGAAATGTATCTCCCGAGTTAGTTTATGAAAATATTAAAATTTAAAACATAATTTAATACCTAAGACGTAGGTATCTACTATCTGTATGTTTGGCTTTTCGACCAAATTTATACAAAATCCCCATAATTCAGGTCCAATAAAAAAAAAATAAAAAGAACATCATTAATGTTGTCCAGTATTTATACTTTTTATAGTTTTAATTTATAAAACAATTTTAAATCCGGTATCACTGGCTCCTGCCACCAGTGTGCATATTATTTTATACTGTTATATGTGATCCGAATTTATCAGCACGCTATCGTCCTTTATAGACAAACGACAGCGTCCTAATCAGTCACTGAATCAGCCACTATCCATAAAATAACCGTAAGAAAGATACAGACAAATACATAACAAAAATTACGTAATTACCCTAGTAAAATATTACGTTATTACTTGATCAATTATACTTGCCTACTGATTTTAGAAACCTGATTGGTTTTTAATGTTTGTTGTTCGGGCTTTGTAAACATTCTATTGTCATCGATAGTTGAGAGCCAAAATGAAATGGCAGTAGAAAAGTAGTTGCATCGCCCTAGTCCATTGCATTCAATGAAGGGCCTCGTACGGAAATCCCTTAAACAAGATCCGGGCGACGCCAAGTTTTGTCCAGCTGCATCTGAACCGGCCATATGCTGTAAAAATTACATATATTCTTCTGTTGCTTAATCAACACTAACGAATTGTATTGAATTAATAGAAATGTCTTAAATTAAACAACCTATGCATATTAAACAATAATGATACCAAATAAAGTTGCAGCAATAGGTGTCTAGTATATAATGCTATTAAAAATATTTGCAAATTTTATCTACAGTATTATGATCTATAATATATAAAGCTGCATTACGGTGACTCACTTATACTATAAAATTGTAAGATCGTCATGAGATGGGAACTGAGTTTGTGTGTTAAGCTTGTACATAGAAAGAACTGGAAGAATTGGAATGAAATTTTAACAGATTATGTAAAATATGTGTCATATAAGCTAGAAAAAGATGAAAAAATAAACCCCTTTTATTTCACTTTTAGACGAGATGTGTAGCGAACACCTTGCTAAATTTCACATCATTTAAAATTTTATAATCATACATTTATGACATATTACTTTTTGTACCATTCTATTATATATCGCTGTCGCATTGTCTTTCTTTCATGGGTTTTACCTGGTGGTACCTCAATAGTTCGATAGTTCAATACCACTCACTCACAGGTACATAACTCCGCTTCAAGATGATAGATCTATCTTTAATGTGTGTGGACAGGCCGATACATAACGTCGCAGTTTGTAACGAAAGAGAGCTGGGTTTTTTTTTAAAGGATGATAATGTAATGGTGCACCCGCCTGCGCTAACGGTTTACGCTGTCGGGGCACCAGTGGAGGATGATAAGATGAACATGAAGTCAGATCAGTTAGTCCAACGTGACAAATTCAGCGGGAATGTATCACGATGGTTTCCGCGTGGAGGTTGATCTGACTAATGATCCCATTGCTAGCAATGTACAATGTATTGCTAGCATTACTAACAATCCCCTTCCCCCCTAAGGGATCTGGGTTAGAGAGCCGGGATGTTTAAGAATTCAAGATGGCTTTAACAGGACCATTTGGGATGTACAGGGGGATGGATTTCAATCGAGGTCAAAACTACTTAGGATCATATATACATTAGTTATACACCTGACAATAGCCCAAACAACCCAATAAAAAAAGAGAAAAATAGTTAAAAATCTATAGTAACTTCTTTAGTTTAGTACACACAACCTACTTAAGTTATTTTGACCTAAGGCAAAGAGTGTGGGTTTGGTCCAGTTCATATCGGATATCAGACATAATAAATAGATAGGTACATACATCGATACATAGTAAACGTACAAACCTGTGACAATTTCAACATTACATTCATTACAGGCTTTCCCAAGTTGAGTAAAAAATTATGAAGATATGCGTGATGGTAGAGTTTTTGTCTGGTACATCCAAGTTATAAGCAGCGGCATAGTCAAGGATGGGGATGAGAGGAGAGTGAAAAAAGTTCATACGTCCACTAATTTCGTTAATATGAGTCGGCCAATGTAAGATCTAGGATTTACACTTATTATTTATATTATGATTACATTTAATTATATGTAATATAGGTATTTTATCAATACTTTACACTTTTTACTGCGTCTTACCATAAGGAAACTGTATCCCATCCATAATTGGTCCCAACCATTAGGACAGTTTGGTATCTCCGTACTTTGACTGTGTATGGCAATAGCTCGTGTTGGCGTTTCACAAACTTGACAACTGAAATATTTATTGTACATACAAGAAGGTGCATAGGAAGGTATCTAAAACTTACAAAAAATTTAAACAATCTAAGATGTATACATTATCTATGGGGTAAACTATTTGAAATTATAAGTATCTTAAGAATATACAAAGTAAACCGTTAGCATTCCGTTTATTTTTTATTATGTTTTAGATGTTTATAAAAGTTTAATACTAATACTATAATAATCGACCTGGGTTCCAAGTAAAACTCATATAGCTATGGAACATATGAAGCTTGCATTGCTGATGCATTAACTTTTTCGGTCACCGTAAAATCTGAAGCATCCAACCAAATTATTCAGATTAAAGTAATTAAGTAGTAAAATTTCAAAGTTTTTGGATGCTCCATATTTTGTAATTTTTGTAATAACATAAATTTATTCTTACCGAGATATGTACATCCCGACGTCTCTAGCTTGTATAGGAGTCATAGACATTGGCATAGGTTCATTAGTTGATAACCAAAAACTGTAATCTTCTCTTTGAGCAAATTCACATTTATCCATAAATTGAACTCTATTACAAAACATATAAGGCATTGTTGAAAATTTTCGCAGACAGCTTCCGGGAGCGCCTGTAAAATTATATACGTTGCAAAAAACACTACATCCTCTTTATATAGATATTTTGTACAAGCCGCTGTTACTGTACTGATTCGAACGTTGAAACATGGCAGTAAAATTATGTACTAAGTAGGTACTGTAGTTTAAGATAAACAAATCATAAGAGTTGTCAAGACCCGAATATTTGCAAATGTTCATAGTCTCTTAATACATATGGATAACTAGCCCTTCACTAACAAAACTATTTACTCAATTGCTAACCTCGAAAAATAAATATAATAAATTTAAGATGACGTAAATCTATATTGTATATTGTATATCGTCACTTCGCGTGCCCATCCGCGTAAACGCAGTCTGTAAATACCGCGTAACAGCAAAACGCGCAAAATTGAGATATCGTGCCAGCCGATTCAAAAGGTCTATTGCCTTGTATTATAGACCTCACCTGATTTGAATTATCCAATTAGAAAGGCCAGTTGTGCTATCGAAATAATACCACGGAATAGTAGGAGGCCAGAATTTGGAAACAAATGGGCAACAATTTCAATTGAAAATAATTGTATTTACTTCGGTCCTATTTTATTTTCCCCCTTAAGGGTAACATTTTTACAAACTTTCAATGTAATATTTATTAATATTTAATCAAAAGTCTAAGAAACAAGTTTCAAGTTTTTAGCTTTTAAAATAACGATAATTCAATACAACCCTCCATCTCCCCTTTCAATTTTTGTTTTGCCATTTTTAAAGATAGAAGCTTAAAATTTACTTTTTAAGCTCTGTCTGTCCCCTTATTTTTGTTATTTCAAGTTTTTTATTATTGTATAAATATTTTTCTTTTCTTTATCAGGTATGTAGATATGTATCTTCTACCTGTGCATAATATTTAAGTCATAATAAATAGTTATTTTGTCTTAGATCATTATTTTGATCTCTTCTATAAGTATGAACACTGAATATCTCTATTTAAAATTATGAATATGTAACATCCTTTTGTAAACAGATTTCGATAATAAATACATTATATTTTTGTTAGTCTGTTTGTTCCGGCTAATCTCTGAAATGGCTAAACCGATTTTTGGCAGGTAGTTAGTCCTAAGTTACTCCTTATTACATAGGAGTAACTTAGGCTACTTTTATTTTATAAAAATAAAGTTAAATTCCACGCGGACGAAGTCTTCAATGAAACTCTACAGATTTTGTAATTTGTTAAAACAAAACCACTTAAGTGACTTTACACAATATCTAAGTCAACTATAAGTAAATTTACATTATTTACCATAAAGGTAGCTTTAAAGAAGTAAGTTCAGTCGGTAATAAGAATTGAAATCGCTGAGATATTAAGTTTTTTCTTCCTCCTGTAAAATGATCAAAAAGCAAGTGCCTACACGGTCTTTATAAATTGCTCTTACGCGGATTTGCACGCGCAGCGATGATATCTGCTGTCACGATGGATTCAAATATTCTGAGTGAAAAATCGACATTTCGTTAAGGCGCTTCTTTCCTACTGGAGAGATAATTTCCCTGGGGAAGTATCAGTTTTTAAGCTATTGCATAGTTATCAGTTACATAAAAAAATGCGCACGCTGTGCTGTAGATACTAATATACTACAAAATATTTTTAATTATGGCAAGTTATAGTAGTAATATCTACGAGCGTGACGATGTCTGCGAGTGGGACTCGGCAAAAACAACGTGCGCATATGCGCACGTTGTTTTTAAACAATATTGTTTATGTAATTGGAAAGGCAACTGACAGCCAATTTGAAGCTAAGTGGTAAAGGATTCTTACAGCTTCGCGGACATCACGTCATCGCATAACGTCCGTAACTAATGGTACACTCGTGTGTTAACATTCCGTAGTACAAAGGTGTTATGCCTGGGTACCCTGTAATTTTGGTGTTTTGTCTTACCCTTCAAACGAAACACATCCCGCAAAGCAAGCTGCTTGGCAGTTGAAATAGATGGGACAGTGAAACGTAGACGATTTTGTACAAAGTGTAACAAACGGTACCTTATGTTGCTATACAGAACGAGGAGGGTGGCACTTTTTAGGTTATTTTCTGAGAAACAATATCATAATTCTAATTTGACTACTTATTCTTCTAAAAAATATAAGAATTAAGATATATTACCTAAATCTTGTCCATGTGCTTTGGCATTGGCGACAATATGTATAAGCGAGAAACCATCCCACAGAGCAGAAGTGCCATCTGGGCATTGGGGAATCATTTCCGTCTGTGAATGAACTGTAAAAAAGAAACCTCTGGATTTAGGATGAGGTCGTAGGGCAGGACTACCAGGTGGCCCGCTATCACCACGTTGCCCTTGAAAGCCTTTTAAACCTACCACACCTTTTCTGCCTTCATACCCTTCCGAACCAGTAGATCCGATAGGACCAGGTAAACCGGGATTACCTCGTTCTCCTTTGCTGCCGTTAATGCCGTTTCGTCCAGGATTGCCTGGGATTCCAGAAGTGCCTTGAAAACCTATAGATCCAATATCCCCCGGATCCCCCCGTGGGCCTGGTGGTGGAATTAGGATCTCACCTAGATCTCCCTTTCTACCCTTGATGCCAGACATTCCAGAAATTCCTTCTATGCCTTCATCGCCTGGGAACCCTTTTAGACCAGTTAATCCAGTTGGTCCTCTATAACCATTAACACCAAAATCACCCGTTTCTCCATTATCACCGATAAAACCTTGGGCACCTTTTTCTCCGAATTGACCTTGTTCGCCTTTACGACTTATAGCTAATCCTTGTTCACCTGTATCACCTCTACTGCCTTTTAATCCTGGGGTACCTTGGAGACCCGGCATGCCGACACGTCCAGGTAAACCTTTTTTGCCAGGATTTCCTCTTACACCTTTAATTCCCTTCTGTCCCTCAAACGATAATCCTGGGTGTCCTCGTTTACCCTTAGGTCCATCAATACCAAATTCACCAGGAGCACCCTTTTGCCCCATAGGCCCTGCCCATCCGGGTAGACCGTCAACTCCAGGTTCACCAGGTTTACAAATATCACATATTAATTGATTTAAGCCAGAAATTCCTGGAGGTCCCTGGTCGCCTTTTGGTCCCTTTATTCCTTGTAGCCCCATATCACCATCCAATCCTTTTTTACCAATGTCCCCACGCTCTCCCTTTAGACCTTTTATTTCAGAAAATCCTGGTTCCCCAGTATCTCCTTGAAATCCAGGTGCTCCATAATATCCAATATTACCCATATCACCTTTAGTTGCTTCGAAAGAATAACTAAATCCTATATCGCCTGGCATTCCTTTTGGACCACTATCCCCTCTTTCGCCCCTTAAACCATCAGGGCCTACATCTCCTGGGAGACCAGGCATGCCCATGTATCCTGGTTCACCATACATACCCACTTCACCTTTTATACCAACAGATCCAGGTAATCCTTCTTTACCTTTTTCACCTCTAAACCCAGGTAATCCTGTTTTTCCTATTAATCCTGTAGAACCTATATATCCTATTTCACCATTGTCACCCTTCTCTCCAAAGTAACCAGCATCTCCTCTTTTTCCTTTTATTCCCTTAAGACCTTTGCTTCCTATATAACCGGGATTTCCTTTTTCACCTTTATCCCCTGGAACGCCTCTTCTCCGTACTCCAGGATTTCCCATAGCTCCTTTTGATCCAGGTATACCATGACGTCCTGGAATACCTTGTAAACCTATTTTTCCGTCGTCTCCCTTTTCGCCTTTTAATCCTTGAAGAGAATCTTCACCTCGAGGACCTTTTTGGCCTGGTAAACCCCTTTCACCCATAGATCCATTATTACCAGGGTGACCATGTAAACCAGGTTCGCCTGTAACTCCAATATCTCCACGCTGTCCTTTGACTCCACGACGTCCTATCACACCAGTAAAACCTGGATCTCCATCATCACCACGTCGGCCTGAATCACCAATATCACCTGAATCTCCATTGATCCCCGGTGTACCAAAATTACCTGGAAACCCTTTCCAACCATCCATTCCTTGGTCTCCCGTTCGACCTCGAAGTCCGTTGCGACCAGATTCACCTTTCAACCCTTTAGGTCCCTCATCGCCTTTGTAGCCATGAGATCCATCTGGGCCCGGATCTCCAAATGGTCCGTTATTTCCTGGAGCTCCTTTGAGTCCTGGAAGCCCAGGAGGACCTTGTTGTACATTACCAGGAAATCCTTTGCGTCCCTAAAGAATAATAATAAGAATAATTTGATTAGCCAAATTAGGCATTAAACAAACATTTTAAGAATTCTGAAATCGATCAACGCCGTAGAATATAATACAGGTAGTAATAACAAGCCTTAATCAATCATGCTGAGCCCCAAACTAAACAGAGCTGGCATAATAGCTGCCTTTACACGAAACATTTTTTCACGATCATTCAGTGTGAGAGATAGCATTTTATGTGAGATGTTACAATGTTTAAAAAAATATCCCTGATAAGTATATTTATAAATTGAACGCTGGAGATCGAAATCGACTAAAATTAAAATAATAAATACAGTTGACTACCAATAATAACTGAGTTCGTTCTGTAGTATTACCACTGCATACTACTGCATGCCACGAACTCGGAACGAACGGCTTTTGTTTTCTGCTAGAAGGTTAAGACTGACGTATACAATTCACACAACGTATAATGTTTAATTTTATTAAAACTTCTAATGCATTATTTATTTATAGGTTTTGTATGGTTGTAAGGTTAAATATATGCACAAACTCGATCCACAACTTACAATTAATTATAAAAAAAATCCCACTAACTTACTCTTTGATACTCAATATACCAATGTCCATTACTTTCGTAGAACTTTCAAATACTCGTATATATACAATACAAAATAAAGAATTCTTCAAAATTTGTTCAGAGATTACTGAAATAATGCAAGTGACCATTTCAAAACGTCATGTCACTTCACCCCTACTAAATAACGGAAATACATGTAAATATTTTCTTTTATATATCCATACAAAATAAATATGTATATACATATCTATTTAATTACATATGTAACTAATTATAATATATCAAAATTAATAAATCAGATAACGATAAATACAAATATTATTATTCTGCTATACTACACCAGAAGTCGTTATTCGTTAAATTCAAGTTCAATAAAACGTAAAATAATACTTACCGGTGGACCTTTGGGTCCTTCTTGACCGTCATCACCGGGTGGACCTACTTCACCTTTTGCACCAATACTACCCTCACGTCCAGACATTCCTGGGTATCCTGGTTCACCTTGATCTCCGTGATTACCAGGACTTCCATCAATACCCATTTCACCTGCTAGGTAAGCGTGACCAGCATCTCCACGTAATCCTTTTCTCCCTTTTGGACCTTTGTCCCCAGAAGGACCCCTCTGGCCTGGCCGACCAGGATTTCCATAGGGTCCTATTTCACCCTTTACTCCATACATTCCTTTATACCCTTTTTCGCCCGGTATAGATATGCCAGTGTTCCCCATTTTTCCTTTGGCTCCAGGTTGCCCATCTAAACCTCTAAGTCCTTTTCCACCTTTTCTACCGGGGAATCCTGTAACAGAATAATAGTTCCAATTGATGACAAATTACAAAAATATATGTAAGGTGTTATTGGAATTCTGATTTAAACTATAAATCATTTATACTCGTATATCCACTTTAATTGAGGCATAGATAGCAGTAAATTATGTAGAATAATGTAATAAGCATCCTATATTCTTTTGTGACAAAAAATGTGAAATTTTTATGAATTTTTCTTAGTTAACGTTGAGTTAACTATGTTTATCGTTAAAAATAATGTTAGCTTTTGCAACACCACAATAACAAGAAGAACAAGGAATACATTTTGATTTTAACGATGGCTACCCCCACCTAGATAGCCTAACGCTTTGTTCTGTTCTCTTGTGTGACCAATATTATCACAGGCAAGTTCATTAATCATTCATCGTCGCAAAACGCCGTATCAAGTAGAGATGATATTGAACTCAAAATAAAATTGAGAGTAAAAAATTGTGTCTAGCTATTTTGTTTGAAGATGTATGACCCACAAAACGAAAATGAACGGACGGTTTCGAAATCTCGGCATACCTAAATTATACTACATCAAGTCTAAGTACTGATACTACTTACTTGTGATCAAATAGGAAAAAATAGTACAAGTAAAGTATTCAGAAACAGTTATTCTAATTGTTTATATTTACCTTGCTGTCCTGGTGGTCCTGGGTAACCCATATCGCCTTTATCGTATAATAAGTTCGCAGAAGAATCACCCAGTTCTCCTTGTATACCCGGATCGCCGGTATCGCCGGCCTCGCCTCTATAAAACATGAATATGAATTTGCTGAAAGGCTATGTTTTGGAAATTTTAATTGTATTTGACAAATTTACATCAACATCTAAATCAGTACAAATTACACAAGTATATTCAACACAATGTAATTGAATCATATGTTGATATTAAGTAAGCTAGTCAGTGAACAAACTAAACTTTATTTTTGTCCCTATTTGGAGAAGTTGCAATTTTATTGTAATAATGTTATTATTGCAATAAAATTAAAATTAAATTAAAACTTCTCCAAATCAAAAAAATTATTATTTAATACACCTAATAACTATTTTCATTGAAAGTAGTAAGAATCATAAGTAGGAACCATTATAAAGAAAATTAATTTTTGAGTTGTTTACAATCACAACTTACATGGCAACAGTCCGGAGGGACAAGATGACGCTGGAACATATATCTAACAAGTGAAACGACACCTGACCATTGAAAAATCAGTGGAGGGCAAGCCAAGTGCGGTAATACAAACCGCTAATATAAATAGCTATACAAAAGTCCGAAAAAGAAAAATTCCCTGGGACGGTAGATATGTGTGCCGATCGATAATAACGACAACCCAGGCGCGAACTGAGATTTGAGATGCCCCACGTGCAGGAAAAATGACAAAAGACGAACTTGAAAACATTTAAAAACACATTGTCTTCGGTCGACCCTTACCCGAATCAAAGCAAAAACTAAATAGCCAAGTATGTACGTAGATACTCTACAGGACCTAATATAACTATATAGATAAAACTGAGCACTACCCACCACTAATTACTTACTAATTATTACATAAAATGTGCAAAAAAAAATCCAATAAACATGTTAAAATAAAATAATGGGTCTATAAAAATAATTTCCATAATGTTACTAAGTTTGGTATTTACCTGTATTTGATTTTTTTTCCTAAATCTATACATATTATACATAGAAAACACCTAGACCAATACAAACAAAAATACTCATGAATTCAAGTGTCTGTACAGTGCGAGTAGGTAATCGAATCCGCGACCATCGGAAGTAAGGCGGTGTGTAAGATCACTGAAGCTGTCAAATTTGATAGCAATTAAGCATTACCTACTTATAGCGCTTATAAAATACATATAGTAACAAATTTGCTTTAATGTTTTCAAACTCTTTCATAGATGGTTCTGTTTTCATTTATATAAATGTCTATTTTTCATTTTCCAAAAATAAGCCCTTACTATATATTATTTTTATAAAGAATAATTAAAAGAAGATGTGATAATTAAAGTAAACCTAAGAAGAAAACAATATTATCCTACTACACACTACTGAACCTGTCGTACCAGTAAAGAAATGAATTGATTGGTCGAATAATCGATAACCATATTCTATATATCTCATATAAATCGGTTCAGTTGTTTTAGTATCAAACCGTAACAAACAGACACACAGAGTTATATCCGCATTTATACTATTAGTAAGGATATTTTTATTTGTGGAACAATTTGCAATGTATAATTCTTTCTCGGCTACGGCTTAGCAAGGTTATGTACTTCGCTGGTATAAGTTCTGTTAAAAATTAAAATGCATGTTTTTAAATGAAGTAATGTATTTAAATTTATACCTACATATTTATTACAGTCTCAGCAAAAGAAACAATATTCTATTCGAAAGGGCTACTTTACCTTTGGCTTTTACACAGGCCTTTAACCTTATTTAATCTGTTTGGTTACGAATCTGTGGACTTACGCACTGTTTTCAAGGGAAATTTCACTGCTAGCTCCAAATATTTTTTAAGAGACTCAATGTCGCCGTGTCATTTAGAGCAGGCAATTTCCTCTAAAACTGACCATAATGTGACGTCTAAAGGATTGAAGTCTAGGTTAAATGAGGGCCAGTCTTCAGCTCTTATAAAGTCCGGAATGTTGGTTTCAAGCCAGATTGGGGTAGTCCGTGCCTTGTGATCATGCAGAACGCAGCTGGAAAGTCCACGGTATATTTTTAAAAAGTGTATTGCTGAGAGGTTGATGATGACTGATGATCCAAGACTATCTTGATATACTTTGCCTGAAGCTTTCACTCCTTTTTCACAAGAATGTAGTTTTGTGACTCCTTGATAAGACATGCCCCACCAAACCATTACTGACGCAGCATGATGACCATGTTGTACCTACCATTCCGACCACTTGAGTAACTTCTTTAGAACTGTGAGCGTACACTTTATCATTTTGTTTATTGTAGTGTTCTTCAATTGTGAAATTTTTTTCATCAGTAAAGAGGATATTTCTGTGCCTTACCCTCTTTAATTAATTAAAGATTGATTTGAGCCATGTCCTGTATATCGACGATAAGAATTTGTTTTATAATACGCAACGGAATCCTAGCAGGAATCTTCATTTCTCGCCATAAGATTTTTTGCTTCCTAATGAGGTCCTAACGAATTCTGGTTTTACAGCAATAATAGACTTTGTAGTTCTAACAGCACGCGGTCGGCACGATCTTTTTTGGTCTTCGACAGACGTAGTGTTGTTGTATCTATTCATAGTATATATGAACATACGGCTGCTACTAAGCTTTTGAAGTGTCTGGATTATGACTAACGGTTCCATACCTACCCACTTTGTGTGCAGACGATCACTGCAATTATTTTCTTTAACACCCCATTCCATATTGAAATTTGATGTGAAATGTCGCAAAATTGAAATAAGGTTTTTAAAAGAATATACGTGTTCTAAGTTAAAAATAATTAAAAAGTTGTAAAAAGAAAAGTTTTTATGTAACAGTATTTATGGCCAGACTAGTAATATGCATGGTTATCTATTCCCTCATTACTTCTTAGTGTTCTTGGTCGTATTGTATTTATAGTAACATCTATCTATTTATGTAAATGATTTTCTAAAAAGTTTAAAGCAGACGTATGTTGTTTGCGATGATTTCTCACTTCTACCGTGTAACAATATCTTATAAATCTCTCTACAAAGATTTTATTAGCTACGGGGTAAAGCAGCTGATATAAATGTAATATTCAAATTAAATCAAAAATAATTTATTTATGAAGGACATTTTAGCCGCTTATGAACGTACAAATTTTTTGTACCATTGTTTGTTTCCTACCGTTCAGTTCAGTATACAGATTCAATTGAGAAAAAGTGGCACGAAACTCAACTGAATTTCTTTCTTTTTAATGACGGTTATTTACACTGTGTACGTATGTGGGTTGTATTCACTCAAAATCCTAAATAATTTTGAACAACATTTATTTAAAAAAGAAACACGCAGGTTTCTATCTCTTTCTTTTTGTGAAGTGACTGTTTTCCGAATGAGCAGTAGAATAAAAAATAATATTATATGACTATCAAAAAGTGCTTAGGTATATATAAAGTTTATTTGACTATTCTGTTCTATATCAAGTAATAAACAAATTCTCTGCCCTTTACCAGTCATATTACCAGCACGGAACTACGCATGAATCCTGGCACAGATTCAAGTAAGTGTTGTTGTTACTGTTATTAAGTACTCTTATTTTTATGCATATGATTGAGTAATAGGTTCATTTAGTTATTAGATTCTTACTTTCGTCCAGGCACTCCTTTTTGACCAGTAAGGAATGCATATGGTATATGAGCATCTGCACCAGGTCTACCAGGGATTCCATCTCGGCCTTTTAGTCCATCATATCCTTGTCGACCAGGCAGGCCATCATAACCCATCAAGCCTTTGTAGCCCTTTAGTCCAGCTTCACCTCGATCACCCGGTAAACCTCCGTTACCGGGTAAACCCTGGTTACCCGCAAAACCTGTAATTTAAATTATACTACAGATTCATACATTTATTATATTTTTATGGGTTATGTATGTATTACATGACAGGGTCCGTAGTAATGACGTCTGAGCACACCAGACATGACAACGCATGAAGGGAATTCAATACCCACTGATTTCATCTACTTTTTCGCTTGAATCATTTTCATAAATTACTGCCAAACTCTTGGTACTATTTACATACTATAAACTTAAGGCGACGCCGTGATAAACTATTACTTCAAAATCGGGCCCCGCGGTCTGCGCACCTCATGCACCCCGATAGTTTTACGTATCGCCGATCGACCGCCAGCGCTCGCTCGCTCTCCCCGTACCACGATATCACGAACACGCGTCCGTGTCGCAATGTAACGCGTGAATCAAGTAGACGAAGCTTCGGTCCCCAATTGAACAAAACTATTACGGAGTCTTCCTCTTTGTTTATATAATTTATATTTATGAAGGCACATTGATATTTTAGAATTTACAATACAGTGGAACTAACTACGATACGAATTAATTATAAAGATTCTTAAAGTAAAGAATTAAATAGAAATATTGAGGTAGAGTTACATATTTCCGTGATTATAATTAACGTAAACTAGTGCTTTTATTACTATCTTTGAAAGAAACACCAAAAAATAATCTTTGTGTTTTCCGTATATATTGTAATTGGTAATTACGACGTTTATTTATTTGCCAACGACATTTTTTTGAAACAGCTAGATATTTTAATGTATACTACATTAACTTACTTACGTTAAATGAAATGTGAAAATATACGAAGGTTAGTTACTTTATAAAAGAGACAGTAAGTCTACGTTTCTGTGAATGATAGGTATATCAATTAAAAAATCTATATATATTATATATTTGATATAATAAACCTAAATTTAGCAATAATGTATGTGACTTTAATTTTATTTATTTGATACGCGTAGTGGACATTATTTCTTTATGTTTTAGAAAGTATATTTTTAAAAATGCGTAAGTAATTTAAGATTATATGTAAGTAAAGTACGTAAAGATATACACTTTATGACAAAATAGTAAAACTTTTACAGTAATTTATAAATTATTATAATAAATATTAAGTTTTAATTACATGTAAAAAGGACGTGAACAATTACAACCTAATCATAAAAGATCTATTAACTTCATACAAATGAAATTATGGAATAATTATAGGTTTGAACATGATTATTTATATTTTTATGCATAATTTAATGACTATTCTGCAAACCTTCTCTATATAAACTATAAGTACGCGAAATTTCATATTCATCCGTCCGCGCTGTTTTTCGTAAAAAGGATAAAAAGTTATTACGATAAAAAGAAAAGGATAAAAAGTTGTCACGTATTAATACATACGTTTTAATAAATTTATATAATACTTTTCATTATTTCACTTTTTTATTTATTTATTTCCTTGGACCTTAATTATTCTTATTCCTTAACCAAGGAATCTTAATTTTACGGCAAAATAATAAGGGAGATTGATAGTGGACATGTTTGCCATGAGTGAGCGAGACAGATATGACGCCACTTTTACCAAAGGCAACAAAAGTAAGTAAAATAAAGAAAAATCTTAACCTAGTTTAGGTTTATTTAAATAAGGATAATATTGAGGAAAACTTTTAGTTTGAACTCGTTGTACGTGAAACGGATGCATTTCGGTTCTTTGTAAAATACGATGTGCTGTGCTATTACAATAAGAAAGAACGGGAAAAAGAAAAAAAAAAGAAAAAGAAGAAAAGTATTTTCGTTTGTGTACAAACGAAAATACTTTGGTCATCTGCGACCTTTTGCAACACTTCTTCCTCGTAAGGAAAGCGAGTTCTACCTCCAGCCCGTATTTGATTCGGGAAATGGCCGCCCTCCGTGAGTGCGGCCGGTACATATAAGCAGTGATCTGGATAGCGCTCTAAATTTGGATATCTTTCACGATAAAGCCTAGCGGCAGCAATTGCATTGCATCTGCATTCCTCATAAATGAGGTGCTTGTTCGCAATTTTTTGTGAAGTAAATAACAAGGATACCAACACAAAAGTCCAATTCCAAAAGAGACAACCCAAAGTTGTCGGTATGGAATCAACAAGTTCAATTCACAAAAATCCAAGTCCAAAAAGAGAAGCCAACAACAGCGAATACGGAAAGACGCGCAGTAGGCTGAGCTGAAGCTGAAACAGAATGAGCAAAATGTACTAACTGGTGTCAGACTGGTAGCGTAACCATTTGCTTGGTATGGCGACTGTATCTGTTTCATTCGCGCGCGTTTAAACGACGCATCTCCGTCTCACTGCGTGGCACATCTGTCTCCCTCGCTCACGACAACATGTCCACTACCCATTTCTCTCATCATTTTGCCGTAGGATTAAGAACCTACTACTATAAGCTTGTGTATGTAAAGAACGATTAAGCCAAGCCGGAGCGATTAGCTAGTAAGTAATAAATACATAGGCTATATATATATATAGTACACGCTTATGCTAATATATGAATGAAGTTTTAATAATAATTAGAAATGGGTTAGGTAGGCAATTATGTCATTATCACTATTTGCGTTGATTTGTAGTCAACAACTAGTAAGAAGTAGGTAGTAGTAGTATCACATACATAATATATCTTGATAATGAACGTTTGCTCTTAACGTGTTGACATCGCGCATGAAACTACGAGAAGCATAATGTCGCGCAGTAGTTAATATATTAGAGGTAAGACATAATTACAACGATAATTGTCACGAATTGTTTTTTAGATAAAATATGTAATATTCACGACACGTCTATATATATATATAATGTAGGTAATAATAAATGTTGCTGTGTTGTATTGTACTATTAGTTGCGATACCAGACATACCCATATCTCCCGGCGCTCCCTTATCTTTATATATCTGTGAAAGCGGTGGCATTTTAAGCTTCCCATCCCTTCCTTTTGCTCCTTCTGGTCCTGTTTCACCTTGTAATCCTTTTATTCCCTTTACTCCTTTATATCCTGGTGTTCCGGCTGTTCCAGCGAGGCCTTTATATCCCCGGGGTCCCGGTAAACCAATATAACCAGGGTATCCCTTTTGCCCTATAACTCCATCTTCACCTTTAACACCTTTCGCCCCAGGTAATCCTAAAAAATAATTTTCTTTAATAATAAGAATATCTAAAAAATGTTAGTCTAGTAGTTAGGATCACAATATGCTTATTCTAGTTCGGATTTGAAATAAGTACTTATATAATATTGCAAACTAAAAAACAAAAACACACGCACGCACACATACACAGTATCTAATAAATAAATAATCGGCATGTTTACCTAATTATCTACTATTTTACGAATTATAAGTTGAAACATCACCTAACGATTGGAAACTGTATTGAAGAATTATTTATTGCTAAAAACATGATTTTAGATTACAGTAAAACAGAAATTGAAACATAGCGGGTTGTAGAAAATGGGTAGCGCCATCTGGCTTAAAAAATAAATTAATTCCGACAATCATAATAAAAGAACAGTTAATTTAAAATTTTTCTTATATAAGTTTTGTATGGTATTTTGCATGCCGAGTTCGCCTTTAAATAATTTTACATTTAGATCGCAACCTACATGTAAATAAATAAATGATATAATTGTTACAATTGTTGGTGCTCCTAAATAAATAATTAAATACCGGCTTTAATTTTTTTGAAATCAGACTTTAAACTCTGGAGAGGTTTTTCCAAAGTTTATAATTTTTGAATTAATCCAGTATTGTACATACTAGGGGTGCGATATGACAGAAGATATCGATGTTAGTACATTTACAACTAAGCACGTATTTCTTACTTAGTTGTAAATGTACTAGTTATTTTCTAAAAAGGCAAATTTATACGTACCGTTATATAGAAACCCGTCATTTTTAAAATAAGAAGTATGAAATTTTATATACTAGCTTCTGCACTATACTATATTTTGCACAGTATGATCCCTATATACAGCTAAACTCATGTTTTAGAATAGAATATCGTTTAAGCAACTCAATTAAATGTTCAATGGTGTCAATGTTCATGGTGTGATCCTAGTCTATAGAAAACAAACATTCTCCCACCGATGTGCGGCGTAAATTTCAAGAACATCGCAAATTATACAGGTTTAATGAGTATCCTAGTTTTCGGATGCCTAAGAACTGAGTTCACAAAAGTCGAGAAGACTGGTTTGGATAAATAACGATCAGGCCAACCAAGGACGTCACGGTCATAAGAAGATATCGACGTCAGTTTGTGAAAATCCTACCCAGTCTATTCGTAAGTATTCCAGAGCGTTAAACATACGAAAATCAACGTTACAGTGGATTTCAAAATAAGATAACAAATTTCACCCATATAAAATCTGATGAGTTGCCGTTTCTGGAGTAGCAGAAACCCACAACGCAAATATCAAAGGCATACATACTACACACATACATACATACTTACATAGTCCTAAATTCACAGTTTAGGCGGCTATGTTATCGTATGGCATCATAGACCCATACTTTTTGAAAACGAACATGGTTATGCAGTTACTGTCTCTTCGGACCAGTATGTGCCTATGATCAAGGATTTTTTTACACCAGAGTAGCTGAATTTTCCAGGCTCCATTCTCGGACTTGGTTTCAACAGGAGGCAGTTGCGCTGCCCATAGCTCTAACATCGCTATGCCCATCATCCATTAACTTTTCCCTAACAAAGTGATATCTGGAAAAGGAGAAATTCCTTGGCTACCACAAAGTTCGGATTTCAAGTTCGGAGTCCAATCGACTTTTTCTTATGGGGTTATCTTAAGGATAAAGTCTAAACAAAACAAACCCGCGGTCAATTGATGAACTTAAAGAAAATATCCGACGAGAAATGTCCAGCATTACAGAGCTTACTTGCCGAGCCGTGATGGAAAATTTTAGGGATCGTTTAGAACGAAAATTGTAGTTAAGTATGCCAAGAACGAAATGGAGCACATTTGGATGAAATAATTTGTATAAAATAATTGCCCTTTTGTGTAGAATATATAGCACGCATTAAAAAAAAAATCTAACTGTACATAGTTTTATTTTTATACAAATGTTTTCATTTCAAAAGTCTTCGGGGACATCTTTTATATAGGAATATATAAATTATTCTATTAGTAAGTATAGCCGGGGCGAACGGCTAATAATGTTATAGAAATGATTAAAATTATTATATATATATAGAATATAAAATATTAATTTGTTTGAAATCTGAATCATTAATATTTTTTATTTCATTCAGATTTCAAACAAATTAATATTTTATTAGAAAAACATAAAAGAAAAAATATATGTATATGTATATAAAATATAAGACTTAAAAAACAGCATCTTTTAAAAAATACTAGGGGTCGAATGCTCGAATGCGCCCATAATCTATACTTATAATAAATGTGTAGAGAGGTCAATTCTGTAGATGAAATATATTTCCAAAATAACTATCAGGGGGTGATTAATGATCGATACTGATGCCAAAAATGCAATCAGTAAAATATTTGTCTGTCTGTCCGTATGTTCGTTATAGAAACAAAAACTACTTGACGGATTTTAACGAAACTTGGTACAATTATTCTTCATACTCTTGGGCAGGTTATAGTATACTTTTCATCATGCTACGATCAATAGAAGCAGAGCAGTGAAGGAAAATGTTAGGAGAACACATCAAAACCACAGAACTGTGAGGAAGGACATGGGCTACTTATTTTACAAAAAACGACGGAAACACAGACGAAGTCGCAGGCAACAGCTAGTACAAAATATAAGAAGATTTTTGAACCAGTAATAACAATTAAACAAAAGTGTATATATGCGTGTGTGTCTCAAATACATGATAGTGTGTGTAATTTATTTTTTACTGATTAATGTATGTAACATTAATCCACTACCCTGTTATGCATAATTTAAAAAATATATTAGCATTCTGCACTCCTTCTGTATATAAACTACAAATGCGCGAAATTTTGTACCTCTTCATAGGTGCAAAATTCCGTTAAAAGCGGTACAAAGTTTTTGTTCCACGTAATAACATACAGATTACCTGATGGACAGTATGGGCAGTCATCGCCGCGGGATCCCTTAACTCCATCGAAGCCAGGGATACCAGGTTCTCCGGGATAACCGATAATTCCAGGTGATCCTGGTCTACCAGGATCTCCCTGTGGACCTGTAATATTCACTCCTATTCCTGGAATTCCAGGTAAACCCATCAATCCTTGACTACCACGTTCACCATGTATTCCAAGATAACCTTTGTTACCGCGTTCACCTTCATCTCCCTTTGGACCATGTACGTTATAACCTGGCAAACCTCTTGCACCTATCTTACCCCGAGGTCCAGGGTAACCTGTAGGACCACGTAGTCCAGGTTCTCCTTTGTACCCATCATTCCCTGGTTCACCTTTTGGTGAAATACCAGGTTTTCCTATTTTTCCTGGCATGCCTGTTATTCCAGGTGATCCAGGTGCCCCTACAATGCCTGGAGGTCCAACAGTTCCATCATAACCGGGTGTTCCTTTTTCCCCTATTGGTCCTTGAGGTCCCTGTGGTCCTACAGCTCCTATTATTGGCTCAACATATATTGTTGGATCATATTTTCCCGGAGCTCCTGGAAATCCTTGAGGTCCTGGATTGCCTGAATATCCATCCGGACCAGGTCTCCCTGGAGTACCATCATCACCGTCCAGACCAGCATAACCTGGGGCTCCTTTAGCTCCTTTTGGTCCTGGGGGACCATATTGACCTCTGTGGCCAGGTTTTCCTCTAGGTCCTTGCTCGCCTTGATCTCCTTTAATGCCGTCTATTCCATCATAACCAGGTGCACCCTTATAGAAAGAAAATGCTATGTTAATTTTTACCTATATGATTATAGTACGTTACATAAAAAAACTACAATCGTACCAAAAATTTAGCCTAAACTAATTGGAGAATATTCAAACACACATAATATGAATGAAGATACCACTACATAATGAAGATACCGCAAATTTGAACTATATAAAGCTAGCGTTAGAACTTTTTATTTTATAATGTATAAAGCTAGCCAGCCAGCCCATTTGCGCTATTTTACATAAAGTAAAACATTACGTAAAATGGCGCAAATTGGCTGGCTAACCTCGTACGTCATATATTTTGGCTATTTTGTTAGTTAGAGTAGCATGTATAACTAAACATTGTGCACAACAATTAAAACTTCATAAAGAGATAATAATAAATAATTGCAACAGTGGAGCGAAATCTTTCTTATTAGATGAAGACGACGATTCTTAATACATTAATTGACGTACCGGTTGACCAAATGAGCCCTGTCTTCCCTTATCACCTTTATCACCTCCGTCACCCTTGTAACCCATTGCCCCCTTCCCTCCTTTTGTAAATAAAGTCGAATTATTAATAACTGGTAAAATAATTTCGGTTTTTCTACCCGGTTCGCCTGGTAGTCCACGCTCTCCTTTTTGTCCCGGCGATCCAATATTATCATCGCCAATGTCTCCTTCATACCCCGCTTCGCCTCGATACCCTATTATACCCTAAAATATAAAATAAGTATTATATATATTACTGTATATAATCAGCGACCTCTACATTTTCCTATATCGACATTTGTTAATGTACTATGTATATAATTAATATTTGCATGGGTGCATTACAAAATTTTGAATTTCTCGGTTTGTTGTATACTATATATGTAAACCTTCATTTTGAATCACTCTATCTGTTGTTGAAAGCTGCATTAAATTCCGTTGAGTAATTTAAAGGATATTATTTTAAGTAGTAAAGACAATACATAAAATTAAGCTATTTTCATGTATTATATATATAATCACAAATAGTGTAGTTAATATACTGAGACTGTCACATATATTGAGATTTCAAGTAATGGTCTAATGTATGCCATAAGAAATATATGTACATATCCTTATCAATTATTTCATAATGACAATTTTTATAGATTACATAAATATGTAGGTATATTTGTTAATCGTACATTGGTTGGCTGCCTATATCCTGGGTTAGAATTCTGTTAAATATTATACACATAAATTATTTTATCTCACATATTTCTTATCCATAACCATCAAGCATAAGTAAAAAGAATATTACACAAAGAATAAATAAAACATAGGTTGGATATCATATGTACCAATCTTCCGAAACTAAAATGAGATTGTTTGCTACAACTAGTTAGTTAATATATATAATATACTCCCATCTTATATTTAATTGTTTTACTGTCAAACGAAAAGATATTTTCTTTCCTGTCCAAATAAAACTTACATGACTGAACATGAAATTTATTTTCTGGAAACATTGTTAAAATATTTTTATTACTTTTTTCAATTATTCTATCCAATATGTTTAGCTATAGAATGGTATGCAAACATTTTTTTAACAGTTATCGATTATTTATAGTTTAAATATTAAGATGTTAATAAAATGAAAGTTAAATGTCATGATGTAGCAGCGTTTTGCATTAATAAATCATTGATAATCATTGATATCGTAAAAAAATTGTCCATCAGCCATTTCATTAATTTAAATATATTCAATTGTTTTATATTATTATTAGTTTTGTTGAAGTGTTCAGTGTCGTGAGGTCACTAGATATGATTTTATTATTATCGGGGGCTGATAGAATAATAAAGGTATATTCATTATTGTATCAGATACTAATAAAAAATATACATAAATGAAAGGATCCTAATTTTAAAATTTTTAAGAAAAGGTTTAATACTATGTTTCCTACACCACAAAAAACTCGTATGTATTAAAAAATTTATACTATGGCGCAAATATATTTTTTTATTTATATCCTTATCATTGTTTCCACAATGATAAGGATATAAATAAATAGTTATAAGTACCAGAACAGACGTAGTGGTAAGGGTAAGGTCATGATTATGTAAAGTACTTAACCTACTCTTGGTGCTGTGGTGTAGAAGAAGAAATTATTACCATATCACCATCTTCACCTCGTTCTCCACTGTATCCTCTATAGCCAATCTGTCCTCTACGTCCAGATTCTCCATAGCGACCGGGTGTTCCTGGTTGACCAGCCACTCCATTGGAATTGGATCCTCCATCACCTGGGAATCCTTTAAACCCTTTATCTCCGTATGAACCAGGTAGTCCTCTTTTACCAGGCCTACCGACTGGTCCCGGTGGACCCATCACACCATCAATACCACTGCAGCCATCTAAACCCATGGTTCCCGAAATACCTTGTAATCCTTGTGGGCCCTGTAAAAATATTTTACAAAATTGAATGTAAAACGCATTTGTTCATAGCTAAATGATATGATTTTAATGCATATCTACCTGAACGCCAGGAAAACCTCTAGGTCCATAGTGTCCATCTAAACCCTGAAAATAAGTATTTGTTTATTATGGTGAAAGTAAATTAAACTAAAATACGCTTACTGATTCCTTAGATAGGTTGATGCAACTACATATACATATGTTAATGCTTTGTCCTCCGTATTAAATTTAATTGACCGGTATAAAACACAGTAGGTCATTTAACTTTTATCTTTAATGCAAATATGGTTTTATTACCCTCTCTCCTTTATCGCCATAATCTCCAATATCACCCTCACTGCCGATTTCACCTGCTCTGCCCATACGGCCTTCTTGGCCATCATCGCCATATTCCCCAGGTAAACCAGGAAAGCCTGGTGGCCCAGGGTCTCCAGGGTTACCTTTTATGCCTCCGCAGTCGCATACTGTTTCATTGCACACCACCTGAGTATGAAATAATGGACATAAACATAACTAGAACAATAAGAAAACCATTGTACAAAATTATTATGCTTTAGCTTTATTAGGACATTTTTGAAAAAGGAGCACTTATAAGCTAAATTAGCGTTTATTAAATGCACTTGAATAACAAAATTAAGTACTGGCAAAATTTGAACAAAGTCCTTTAAATACTTTTATGTTTTATTATTATAATATTAATAAGAGACGCAATTGCCGGATCTATGTAATAATTAATTTCAATAATTATTACTTGTATATTATACAATTGTACTAATAATTTTTGTAATTATTAATTTCAATAATTATTGCTACAATTATATGTGTAGGTATTGTCTGTTTGTGGTGAAACAATAATCTCAACTAAACAATTGGACGGATCTTAATTTATTATGAAAATATAGATTGTTTTGTTCATTGGTGTTTTAATAGCCTATAACAGGTAGATATTTTTTTAAAATTAAGAACATTAATATTATGCAAGAGGAACGTGCCTTATCGTCTACTTGTGACATAACTACAGTTGAATAAGTGTAATATCGTTCATTGCCCTACCTCATAATGGAGCATGACTATTTCTATATAATTAGTACCTGAATAAGGTAACTAGAAAGCTCAAACAATATTAGATAATTGAGGAAAATCCTCAAATACTTCGGGTTTACATCATTCGATCATGAGTTCGTGAAAATGGGACTACGTGAAGAGATTAGACTTCCAAACAAACAAAAAAAAATTGGTCCATTATTTATAACAATATGAGAGAACATACACAAAAAATATAGGTAATGAAGATCGACTCTTGTCCTTTTATGAATTCTTATTAAATAATTCGATTTAAAAAAAATACATACTTTAGGTAAGTTTTCATTTCTATTATTAGGTAAATTCATTAATTTCCTCACTTTCTAAAATTGACCTTTAAATATATATAACCCTAATATAAAAATAGCAAATAATTATGAACTGGTTATTATTCTAAATATTAAATAATTATATGTACCTAAATATGTAACCATTAAATACTTACAAAGATCCATCCGTCTCTTTTTTATTACAAAATTATATACAGATAGGTACCTACTCCTGACTCGCGGTATATTTTTACAGTATAATTAATTTTGCAGCTGATATTGTTATGATTACTTTATAACTATGATGTCAGCATGTGTTGCATCATTATTACACTAATAGATTCTAGGTAACTAAAGAGACCACATGAGTATACCCAAGTGGATGCATACGAATACGACTTCATGTAAAATCTACTTTAGCTTATTCGAATAGACTCAATGTAGGTAGGAGCCAAAGTTTTTTCGACAACCCTCATTGGAATAGAAAATCACGCCACAGTACTCATGAATAAGATCACAAAAGTATTCTTTAGTTCGCTAAACCTATACGTTACTCAGCTAATATTTTATATTGTTTAAACAGTTACTTTTATATAATCTATGAGAAATAAGTATAAATAAGTATCTTGTTCATTTAACATTCTCAGTAGGTCCTTTTCTTAATTTGCAAATTAAATGAATGCAAACTTGCAAAATGATTCGTAATTGTAGTAGGTACCTATTGTATACGTGGAATTATAGGAGTAGGTAATATGAAACCGTCTCCGTTTATTAAGACGCCATTTCAAACGTATCATTTTGCAGTTAACATGACAACATATCTAAATTTGCATGACCACACATTGGAATAGTGCTATTAAAATTACTGTGTCGCGTAGCTATATTATATGGGACAGTTTTGAATTATATATTAATAAGTTTAGATGCTTTATTAAAGATTTTATATAATGGAAACAATATATAAATAACACTTTAAAATAAGTGAAAGTCATTCTATCGTAGTTATCTTATTAATAATTAACAGCTCGCTCTTTCTTCGGATATAATAAGATATCATTCTGAAGAGCAAATAGCCTATTATTTTTACAGTTTCTGTTCCATTCATAATACGCCAGTATATTAGTTTACTAGCTACTCGCCCCGGCTTGCACGGGTGTACATGTATTATTATTATATATATAAAACTTCCTCTAGAATCACTCTATCTATTAAAAAAAGCATTTCAAAATCTGTTGCGTAGTTTTAAAAATTTCAGCAAACATAGGGACGGACAGACAGCGACGGCGACTTAGTTTTATCCAATGTAATAATAATGATTTCAATGTATATAATGTTATATTTTTATGAAAGTACTCATAGTGGAACATTTATTATTAAAAATCGTAATAATTATTTTTATCAATCTAAATAATTTTATCAGTCCCTTCATGTAGGATAATAAAAGAGGTAGTCAGTAAAACCAAAATGTAGTAAATATACTACTTTAAACTTGTAGTTTTTTCACTATGACATAGAAAATCCTTTCTACTATACCATAACATTTGTAAGTACCGTTTTTATATGCGTAGAAGACACAATTAAGACTAAATACTACCGTGTTTATATTTACCGTGTACATGGGTATGAGGATTTTTCCCAAGTAGGTACTTTGCCTAAATCTTTATAAGATTCCTACTTAGATTAATATAAAGTAAACAAATTAGTTTTAATTGGCCATATTCCACGTTTAACATACATATATACTTTGCCTTCAAAATATATACTTTGTCTCATTTTCTCCACATAGGCCCCAAACGAAAATTATTATCTTAAAAAAATTGCAATGAAAATAATATTGGGTATATATCTGCAGGCAGAGATTGCTTCTAATGTTTATAATAACATCGAAATGTCGACATGTATGATATATATAATATGTACCTATTATAGATCGCCTAACACCCGACGCCGCGACGGTAGGTTATTTTTTATATTGAATATATCTGATTATATTTATGTGTGTTTTACTATGTGCATTATTTACAAAAAAATGCATATTAATTTTTTTTTGCCTAGTAAGTCCATAGCACGAGCTCGGTTTGCTTTAAATAATTACGGATTAGATGACACCGTGTTCTGGGTTATTTATTATATTATTACAATGTGTTTTATGTTCGATGTAATTTGTTTTATCATTAACGGTGTCTCTAACATTACTAATGTAATATAAAAAATATTGTAATTATCCTCTGCCAAATAATATGTTTACCAATAGTGAAATATACCTAAGTAATTATATTGTATTTACACTTTAATATAAATTTGTGTTATATATGTATTTTATTTGTAACAGACTTCACACTTTATTATATTATTACAATGTGTTTTATGTTCGATGTAATTTGTTTTATCATTAACGGTGTCTCTAACATTACTAATGTAATATAAAAAATATTGTAATTATCCTCTGCCAAATAATATGTTTACCAATAGTGAAATATACCTAAGTAATTATATTGTATTTACACTTTAATATAAATTTGTGTTATATATGTATTTTATTTTTAACCTAGCCTGCTTTCGGCTGGAGAGGACCACAAAATCCGCTCCTCCAAAGTTGCCGGTCCCAAGCCCGGATAAATAGCGAGGGTCTTTGTATACAGTATATGTATGTATATTATAAAATAACTTACAAGTAGTGTCATATTTATATTAATATATCCTTCTTCTCTTTCAAACTATCATATTTATTTCAATCAGCTGCACCTAGTAGGTGAGTCTGCAGCACATATGTATATATATTGTATCAATAGTGTATTTATAAATAAAATGTGCCTGGGCAAGCACCAGAACTAATTATAGCCTTCTTATATATACTTACCTATATACTATTAAATTTAAATAGCTTCCTGCACCTACCTGCGCTAAGGCCTGCGCAGTTGAGCGCCGTAAGCGGGGAAGACGGGATCCTGGGAGGTTGAGTCAATCGGAGGTCGGAGCAGTTACCTCCGGGCGACAACACGCCTCCTTTGGCCCATATTTCTGGCGAAACGGTCGCCTGAGCAGCCAGCCACTGCTCGGGAAATGGTCCAGTGCTTTACCGTCACAGGAGCACGGCGAGGAGTGGGAAGGTCTCTTCGGAGAAGGTAGTCGGCCATGCTGACGGGGTAAGGCACTGTGGAAGTTCTCTAGCCGCAGTTGTCCGAACTCCCGATGTCGCGCAAAGACGCCACCTTTCTGCTCCTAGATCCACTCGAGAAGATCCTGGTGCCATTGCGGCATCCCCATTTGCGGGCTCCGAGGAGGGTGGGACATCGAGTGGACGACTTTTAAATATTCTCACAATATGGACATCATCGATGACATTGAGAAACTGCTTGAAGGAAGTACCTTGGACGAAAATGAACGCCAAGAACTTTCATCCGATGACGGAAACTGTTTGGAGATGGTTGTTGAGCCTACAGGGACGGATGACCTAGGTCTAACGCCCAAAAAGGACTCAAAGCCAAAACCAAAACGAAGGAGGTTAACAGGAGCAGCGCGGAAACGCCTAAAACTGTTAATAGCCGCCAACATCAAGGCTGATGAAGCTTTAGAACTCTGCCGGAAGCCAATGCGAGACCAGCCCTCAGAGGTAAGATCCATCAAGCGCCCACGGTCAGAGGAGGTGTCCCCAAAGGAGCATACGCACAAAGCGCCTCGCGTGGCGCAGCCGACGCCCACCGGGAAAGGTACCCAGGCAGCGGAGACTGCAAAGTCACCAGCGCCTACTGTACCTCAGACACCTAGAGTCACATACCAGGCACTTGCGACACCAGGTGGCTCTTCAAGCCCAATGGTGTTTGCACCAACAAGTGTCACTAGTAGCTCAACTAAGCGCTCTACGAATACGGCCCACCAGTTGCGAACGCCTGCACCCAAGCAGCGCGTAACGACTACAGGGACGAACGTAAACGCAAAGGAGGAAACTGCAACCTATAAGGATGCTCTCAAATCGTTCCGAGTGGGGATCCGACACACGGCCCCAATGACGGACGAAATGATGAGCATGGTGCGCTCCTCAGTTCTCCGGGAAGTTGGCAAGATCACGGAAGCTGGGAAGGGCCCTCGATTTGTAGGTTGCAGTTTCAAACCTGGTTGGCTGCTAATCACTTGCCAGAATGAGCCGACCAAAATATGGCTGGAGAGCATAACGCCCTCCCTAAAACCCTGGGCCGACGCAGAACTCTCTGTGTTGGACGAGAGAGCGATGCCCAAACCAGCCATTGGAACGGCCTTCATCCCCAGTTCGGAGACAAGGTCGGTCGATGAGGCACTCAGAATGCTGAAGTCCCAAAATGACTGCCTTAATTCCGAACTGTGGAAAATACTCAACCGTAAGGCTGAAGAGAACGGTACAGTCCTGACCGTATCTCTGGACGAGCCTTCGGTTGACTTCCTCAGAACACAGGACTATAAAGTCAACCTTGGCTTTAAAAAGGTCCTGTTCCGGGTCAAGGGGATCTCCACGCCTACACAGCAGCCTACTTCGGACGGTAATGGAAGATCTGCCACAGGAATACCCACACCATCCGAAGCGGCGAAGGACGTAGACACCAACGCCAAACCCGCCAGAGGCAGCTTTCCCCAGCCAAAGGGGACCTCGCAGACGAGGATCCCCAGTTTTAAGACGGGACGGAAAGATCGCGGCAGGAGCGCCACAGCTTCCAATCGCAACCCAAAGGGACGCCCACGTCCCACAGGGAAGGCGAAAGGAAGCTGCTAACACGCCCACACGCAAGCAATGTATCAGAGCCAACATTGTCCAGGTCAACTTACATCATGCTATGGCAGCAACAGCGGTCATAGAAAACCTCTTCCGCAAAAACGACCTGGACCTTGCTCTGATACAAGAGCCATGGCTCAACAAAGCCACGCCTTTAGGCCTCAATGCCTCAGGTAATATTCTTTTTAATACCACTGGCACTAAACCTAGAGCATGCATTCTTTTTAATAAGAAACTAGATTTTCTGACTGTTCCAGAACTATGTACAGATGACCTAGTGACAGCCTTCGTCAATTTCCCTGGATGCACAGGGTCAAAAGTACTGGTCTGCTCTGCATACCTACCTGGACATGATGAAAACAACAAAATCATCAAAGACCCGACAACCGGCCTACAGCCTGTGGTGGAATACGCCCGTAAGCACAAGGCCGAACTCCTCGTGGGCTGCGATGCAAACGCCCATCACACAAACTGGGGAAGCTCTGACATCAACACCAGAGGTAAGTCACTTGATGATTTTATACTAACCAACTGTCTTCAAATCCTAAATACAGGGTGCACACCGACGTTCGTCACTGCCACAAGACAAGAGGTACTAGATATAACACTCGCGACCGACAAACTGGCCGAATATATCACTCATTGGCATGTCAGCAATGAGAACTCCATGTCTGATCACAAGCACATCAGATTCACAATTGAGGCTGCAACAGACTCAAACCCCATACTCTACAGAAACCCAAAGGCTACAGATTGGCCTAAATACAGAGACAGTCTTACAAGCCTAATTGCGGACCTTCCGAAGAGTATCAAATCTCCTCTAGAACTAGAACTCGCTGTGGACATACTTCTAAGTGGCATAATAAGTGCCTACCAGAACAACTGTCCCATCAAAACCAAAACCGCCAAATGTAAAACACCCTGGTGGAATAAGAGTCTAGAAAAGCTGAGGAAGAAAACTCGCAAATTATCCAACAGGACTAAAAAGGGACCTTTCGAATGGGCCCAATATAGTAAAGCCCAAACGGAATACTACTGCGAAATTAGGAAAGCCAAAAGAGCATCATGGCGTGCTTTCTGCGAGGAGATAACTCAGACTCCCCAAGGATCCAGATTACACAAAATGCTTGCCAAGGCGCCAAATAACCAAATTGGACTTATGAAAAGGCCCAATGGTACCTATACGACATCAGAGGAAGAAACTCTACAGCTGCTATCTACAACCCACTTCCCTGGCTCGGTTCATATCTCAAGAGATAAGGAGAACCCTCCAAGCTCACATCTACAAAAGCCCAACCATGAGGCGTGGAACAGAGCTGCGAGGATTTTTCGACCAAAACAAATTATATGGGCTATAAAATCTTTCAAGCCATATAAATCATCGGGAGAAGATGGAATTTTCCCGGCCCTGTTACAACAAGGGCTTGACATCCTATCTCCCTATCTGGTAAGAATATTTAGAGCCAGCTTTGCCTGGGGTTTTATACCAGAACCATTAACGAAGGTCAAAGTTACCTACGTACCGAAAACCGGTCGAAGAGACTACTCGCAGCCAAAGTCTCACAGACCTATAAGCCTAACCTCTTTCATAATAAAAACCATGGAAAAGGTTCTGGACCAACACATTAGAGCTACAATCCTCGAAAATGCTCCCCTGCACAGGAATCAACATGCCTACCGCAAGGGACATTCCACAGAGACCGCCTTGCTCGAACTCACCGACAAGGTCGAGAAGGCCTTTGAGGACAAACAAATAGCTCTATGTGCATTTCTCGATATTGAGGGTGCTTTTGATAACACGCCCATAGAGACCATCTCACAGGGACTCATCCGCAAGAAAGTGGATGAAACCACCACTCAATGGATCAAAGCAATGCTCTCAAATCGAACCATTAAAACTACTCTTCACAACAGTACGTTAGAAATCCGACCTACCAAAGGATGCCCTCAAGGAGGCGTTTTATCGCCACTGCTGTGGCTACTAACGGTAGACCAGCTCTTAGATGTTATGACCAAAAACCAATTTGAGGTACAAGGCTACGCAGACGATTTAGTAGTCATGGTCAGAGGGTTCTGTGCAACAACAATATCAGACCGCATCCAAAGAGCACTAAACATCATAGTTAAATGGTGTAAGGAAAATGAATTATCAGTAAATCCTGATAAAACAGTAATTGTTCCGTTTACAAAAAGGAAGAAACTTGACAAACTTGTCATGCCTAAAGTAAATGGAAGAATATT